GTGAGGACATACTCAGACAGCCTGTGGGGCTGCCATGTGGCGTGGAACCCAGGAAAGGTCATTGCCAAATCCATGTACGTAAGCATGCGAGTAGGTTGCCCCAGCTCACCTCAGCCTTTGGATGGATGGCTGCAGCCTCAGCGTACGCCTGAACCACGACCCCATGGGGGGCACCCAAGGACACCCAGGCAAGCCATGCCAGGGCCCAGACCCACAGGAACCAGGGGACACTAAATGTTTGCTGTTTTCAGTTGTCAAGTTGAGGGTAATTTGTTACACAGTCACAGGGACTTAACACAGAGCACATGCCTCGGGGGGTGGCAGGTGTCATTTGGTCAACAAGCACTAAAGAGCTACTAAGTGCCAGGCATGTTGTGGGTGCTGATATAATACATTTTATCTGTTTTCATGTAGTTATTTTTTGAGTGGGTAATACTGTCAACGTGGTTTGAAATTCTAAAGTGACAACAGGGGACAGAGAGGAAAGTCCCCAAAGACACTCAGTTCCCTCACCACAGCTTAACGTTCTGTGCAGCTGGGTGTCCATCGCAGATGTTACACACGTACAACCACGCACGCACTGGTTCACACACCAGTCCGCCACTCCCTTTTTTCGTGTAACCATCTACCTTAAAGGAGATTCTATGTCTGCACATAGAGAATTTCGTTGCTATTTTTCACGGCTGTATTGAATTCCATGATCTGAATGTCCCCCTATACAGGACAACCTGTTCCTTATCCAGAGACCTGTAGATCATTTCCAACCATTTGCTATTACAAACAATAGCGCAATACATAACCTTCGCCACACACTTCGCCCTCTAGGATAAATTTCTAACACTGGGTCGGAAAGCACGCAGGCGTGCAACTTTGATAAGAACTGCCCAACTGCTGGGGAGATGCCGTGGCTGGGTAGAGAGGTCCCAATTTATGTGGCCATCAGGGCACGAGACCGTCAGCTTCCCCCAAAATGTCAACAAGGCCTTCATGTTTGCCACGCGGGCCAGTGGGAAGCAGTGCCTCAGCGAGGCCTGAAGTTGTCCTCCCTTGTTAAGGGGTGAGGCTGAGATTCTTTGGACATGTCTAACAGCTGCTGACATGACTACAGGGAAAAAATAATCCCCATACATTAAACACACACGCTCTGGCTGCCAGGCGAGGGCCGCGGGGATGAGAGCGGATGCAGGGAGCCGGACAGAGCGGGGCGGAGAGCAGCAGATGGGCCGGAGCTACCGGAAAGCCTACAGAAAGAGGCCTTTGTGATGGCTCTGTGCGCGCGTGTGCATACGTGCGTGCGCACACACGGAGGGGCGGCTGGTGGGGGAGAGGCTGTGTCGGGATTCAACTTCAGCCTCTGGCTTGTGCAACCTGAAGGTAGGAACCTTCACTGGGGCAGGTGTGTGGGGAAAGAGCAAATGTGTTTCCCACCATGGGCATGACTGCCAGGGACCTCTTGCCTTTACTATATGCTGTGCCTTACCCCTTCACGGGGTTTTAAATTGTGACCTTATTTTGGATTTCACATGTGTAAGACACCAAGCCAGTGAATCACACATGTGAAGCGCTGTGTCAGGCTGCGTGTATAAAATGCGGACCAGCTCTCTGCAGTGTGCTGAGGGGTCGGCTGCCACAGAGGTGACAGAGGCTGCAAGCACCTGGACCTGGGTTCAGCCCAGGACGCGGCCGCTTAAGTAACTCACCCGAATGACACAGGTAGACAGGGCTCCCCAAAAACAGCTCTGTCCCACGTGGCCTGTGAAGCCAGCAGAGGCACCTGAACTTCACCTTCTCGCTTCCGAGCGGCCTTCTTGTTCGAGGCGTGCAATGTTAATGTCCGCAGGGTGGCGGCATGGGGTCCCATCCAATTCCGAGTCCGTTATTTTAGGGGGAGGAGGAAGTAATGGCAAAAGGGGGGAAGAAGTGTGACTTTTACAGTTATATATGTGAGTCTACAATGCCAGCTAGATCGGACGGATGCCGCCGTGACTGGCTGCGTTGTTTTTCACCCCCTGCCCCACTTCTCCTGGCCCTGCAGCCCAGACTCCTGGCTGTAAGGGCTGCCGACAGGCCAGGGAAGTCGGAGAGTGAGCCAGTCAGTTTCTGGCTTTGATGCTTCACAAGCCAACATCTGCGTATGAGACAGAAAGGGAGGGACCGTCCCCTGCTTCTCTGCCCTGGGCAGGATTCTGACATGGTGGTCCCCCATCACCTGGTACCTGCTTGGAGAGGAACATTCTCAGCTCTCACTGCAGACCTGCAGAATCGGAAGCTCTCAGGTGCAGAGCCCAGAGACCTGTTTTACACCCACCGGGTGATTCTGACGCAGGGGCTCCTTATTTATTATGGGGAAGCTGTTGAGAACGTTTCCCATAAGCTCCAAGTGTCTTTTCTGTGTGAGAACCTAAGGAAAATTTTTCTCATGTCTCACTTCTAGGAAAGCCTGACTGTCTTAGGCCATATGCGAGGTTTTATCTTCCAGAGCCCCCGAAAGTTGTAACCGGTTGTGTTCTGGGGTTGTTTGGCTGCTAACAAGATCAGAGACAAAAGTCTGGCTGACCTGTGGAAACGGCACAGGAACTGTCGAGGGCCATCTTTTTACTATCGGGCCCTGAACTTCCACGTACTGTGACTTTTTAAATCTATTTCATCCTGTTGCCTTATATGTGTTTTGTAACATACATACAAGTATCACGTGGCCCTCAAATGAGGCAATGTTGTATAAGATGCATTCAAAGCCCGAAATAAATGAAACGCTGGATTTCATTTTCCCAGTGTCTTTTGCTGCTATGGCATCAAGCAGCCTGGTGACAATGGGTACCGACTGAGACGGCCACGCTCTGCCAACAGGCTTAGAAGTGACATTTACACGGGTCTGGCTCCCAGCCCACCCACTGAAAACACCAATGTGGGCGCACCCAAGAGATCCTCTCTCATGAGAATGAACTCCCAGCAGCCAAACCTGTAGAGACTGAGATACCAGCCAGAATGTCATAGCATTGATTTAGGATGACAAGTATCTCCGTCAGGTAGACCCCGAATGCTGGCCCTGACACACGGTGCATGGAAAGGGAATGACAACAGAGAGTTCATTTCAGGCTCAGCTGCAGGAACAAACCCCCGGGCCCCCACACACAGCTGGGGCGGGGCGGGGGCGGCAGACTCTGGGAAGACGCCCAGGCTCTGCCGGCTCAGCTGCCCAAGCATCCTCTCTGTCCATTCCCAATCCATCGCCCTTGCGGTGTTCACAGCCTTGTTGCAAACAACTCAGTTTCTCACTAGCAAATTGCATTTACGTTCCTGTGCACCACTTGGAGCCTCACTCTCTATTCTGGTCACCCTGACGGGACTCTGGGGACAGCTACCTGGTCATGCATCTGAAAGCCACCTCTTGGCTTATCCTCTGGAAACGACTCCCATCGCATCCACTGCTTGTGGGTGCTGCTTGCGCCCCTGGCAAGGGGAAGCCCTTCCCTCCTTATCTCCAGCCCTCAGGAGGACCCTGTTGGCATTTCTCTCAGCAAAAAAACATGGCAGCCTTCCTCTCTAGAAAAAACCAACTCCTTCCATTTATAAAACTATAGAATACAGTTTGCCTTTTTAACAACTACGGATTGAGTTAAAACCAAGAGGTGGCTTTCTGCATAGAATAAGCCTATAAAGGTAAAATCTTTGTCCGACTGGTGAAAGGCACAGAGCTGACAGCTTTCCTGGCTTTGAACTGAGCAGGTGGTGCCATCCCTACTCAGACCCTGTGGATTCTGGGAATCCAGTGTCACGTCCGTTGGTCACCTGGAGACACGGACACCTGTTGTTAATGTCACTGCTAGCTGAACGTCATCATCTGACCAAAGAGGACAGACAAGGCCTGAAAACCCTGAGTTCATCTTGATTTTAGTGCTGCTTCAACAGCTCTGAGAAAGGTACCGTAGAAAACATGTTGGCAGAAAGATACAGAAAAAGAAAATCCACGCTCCTACCCCAGGCTCCGAGAACAACTTTTGAGACTAGGATCTTCTCATCCATCAGAAGATCACTTCCAGTCCTGCTCTCATCCTGTTGTGTGGGCGCCGGCACCCAGTCTGAGCCCACTGCCAATGTAAACACAGGAAAGAGCCTCGGATTTAGACACTTCGAGAAGTGCAGATCCAGTTTCCGGCCCCCAACAGGTACAGGATCCCCTACAACCTGTAGTTGCTTCTCCCTTGGAAGCAGACGTGGTGGAGGTAAACGGTTTGGGGAGGTCAGGCAGATGGGGGCTTTTATCGGAGCTATTTCCCTATTCGTAAAGTGGGGTTAATATCGGTGTCCAATCTCACAGATGGGGTGAGTTTAAAATGCTTAGCATAGGCCTGGCCGGGTGGCTCCGTTGCTTCCATAGTAACAAGCTCACTCTGTACACACCTGCTTATCTACTCAACATCCATCCACCCATGAATTTAACATGTTAACCACTTTCCCGTGCGCTGTACATTCTATACATCCATCCACCTGCAGAGTCTTAAAATTCATACGAGCCTTGTTTCTGTTATATTTGAAAGACCTGATATGCCTCTAAGCCCTTCCTGTGAGGGCTATATTCCCTTCCCTTTTCTTTTCAGCTCCTTCGTGTTCTTTTTTAAGTATTTACATTTATTTCTTGAAGTTGTTTCCCAAGTGGACCGGAAGCTTCTTTGCAATGGGCTCTGTTCACTTTGAGTAACTCTTCAGGACCTGCCGTGTTCTAGCACCGCAATGATTGCTGCCTCTGCAGATCCGCTGCCTTCTCCGTGCCTGCTGATTTAAAAAAGAATGCAGCCATCTCCACAACGAATAGGTCACGCTGCACGTTTCCTCTGACACTTCCTATTGGCACATGTAGTCCGTACCACCCCAAATGCCCGCCCTCAGGAGCTAGTGAACGTGACAGTCCCAGAAGAACAAGGCTTTTGAGGTCCTTTGCGTGCCCCCCCCAACACACAACATCCCCTTCCACAGCCAATATTCTGTACACAATCATCCCATTTTAGGACAGGAATAATTTATTACTATGAATATGATTTTTAACAATACTCCCTAGGTGCTAAGTAAGCAAAATTTTCTCCAAATCAGTAGAAAGCCCAAAATAATTAACAAATATATAGGTAGATATATATATATATATAAATAATGTTCTGATTCTCTGCCTGCAATTTAGTTTTTAACTTCGAAGCCACAGAGGAGTGAGGGCCTCAGCGCCGCAGCGCACACTGACCCCGCTCTGCCAGGCCCGCGCGCGCCCCTCAGGCCTGCTCCAGCTCCACGAGGACGCCCCCACAGTCCTTAGGATGGAGGAAAATCACCGGTTTCCCGTGCGCTCCTATCTTGGCCTCTTCACTTAGACTGCGGACCTTCTTTTCTTTCAAATCCGTCACAGCTGCCTTTATGTCGTCCACCTTGAGACAAGGGAGTAAGGACACGTTAGAGACCATACGAACACCGAGCGACAGCACCCTAAGGCTGGGCAGAAGCGCTGCAAGCCCTGGTGCCCCAGCCCCTCTGTCCCGAAGCCGTCGCACGTCAGAGAAGCAGCAGCAGCGGCTGGGTTGTCCTTGGTGAGTGCCTGCAGGGCTGGCGAATTTTCACCATCTGCAAACCTTTCTCCCTATGACTTCTACAATATATGCTACATTCTGTAACATTTTCTTCCCTTGGTGCTACTGGTGATACTGCATACATCGTTTTTTCCCAAGAGCCTTGGGCTCCCCAGCTATACAATAGGGAGACGAGGCCTGCCATACAAACGGGCAAGAGATTAAAGGGGATGAATAAGCAGCTCCCCGCACAGTTTATGGTGCGCACTCAGTAACCGTGGATGTTTCCCTGATCCCCAAACTTCCCCCTGCCAAACTACCTGGTTAATGTTTCTGAAATTAAAACTTCATACACAGGAAAATCACTAGTAAACTGTAACCAAAATGTGTTTTTCCATTTTAAAACTCCGAACATTTCTAATTTTTCTCTTCTAAATCACTTCTGTGTTCTTCACGTTTATTGACAGCCTAGGAAAAGAGCAAATGTGTCTCTCTATACTTATGGAAAAATGGTTCTCCTCTGTCCTGGAAAATCATCCTTAGACTGGGAACCCACCAGAAGGACAGAAAGGAGAATACGAGCGGCCACATTCCTGAGCTGTCGTAAATCGCCCCAGAGTTTATCGACCTAACAGCATGCCAAATAGTTTGTGCCCAACGTGTACCTTTAACAAATGCCCATATTATACAATCTTATTTTCAAAGAACCAAGGACTATATATACATACTGGATTCTAAAACTGGTCAGAAAGACAACAAGGACACTAAGTGCTACCATGAGTGAACTATGATTTCTTCCGACGACATACCCTCTACTTGTATGTTCTTGGTAACGTTTCTTGTAAAGCCTGACAGGTCTGCCAGAGCCGAGCCGGACTGTGAGCGTGGTCATTCCCTGCCACCGTCAGGTGGCTGCTCTGTTCTCACCTGTCCGGATGGTGAGGCCCTTCCCAAGCATGATACCTTTTTGCACCTTGATACAGCGAATTTCATTCTGTTGAAGTTGACCTCTTTTTCCGTTTTCCCAAAGTTAGTTTAAATTCAGTCTTTACATTTGAAAATAATTTTTAAATTACGCAGAACAGGAAAACGGAGAGCTAGGTACCCCTTGACCACCACTAGTACCATTTTCCTCTCCGGAGGTAATTACTACACTCAGTTTGACATGTGTTCCTCCAAATTTTAAAAGTTCTTTTTCCTCTTCTTTCTTTTTACTTGGTAATAAAATGCCCTTTCATTTACAAAATGATGTTAGCAATAGATGTAAATCTAAAAGTTTGTCTTCAGTTAATAACACAGAAAATTTAAACCTTTTATCAAATTGCCTAACTTTTTGCTTTGTTCTGTTCTCTAGAAATGTTATCATTCTATAAAACCCCCATGTCTGGGAGCTGGCGATACACAGATGCCTTGTGAAGCTTAGCAATTCTCTAGGGTTTCTTGTAAAGCCAAGAAGAGAATGGAATTTTTTGAAAAGTAGAATGCTCTCCCTTTCTGATTGAAGAATAGCCATTTCCCAACACGCAGGAAATAAGTTACCTCGCTGGCCTTTTACCTTAAAGTTATATAACTTTCCCTTCATAAGGAACATATGCTCAGGGAAAAAGATCTATAAAACACACAAAAGCATAAACAAGAAAATGAGTCACCTATTACGTGACTACCCAGAAAATAAAACTGTGACAACTGCTGCGTTTCTTCACACTTTTTTCTCTCTCATTTCTGACATAACATTTCCATCATGTGCTTTCCCCCAGCAGCCTGAGCCAGGACGGCTGCCCGTAGACGAAAGCTGACATCCTCTCCGTACTTGTAACGCATTTCTCTGGCCCCGGGAGCCTGGCTCCTGGCTCACTTGATAAACCTCCCTCCGGGCAACCATGCCCCTCCCCTGTGGCCCGTGCCTTGCACGCGCGCGCACACACACACACTCACTGCACAGGCGCCAATGCTCCATCCGCCCCCCACCCCCTCGGCACGCCTGGGCTCCAACTCCGCACTGGACTCGCCCCCATGCCGATGCCTCTTCGCTCTGACACCCCGCGTCTGGCTACCTCTGGGGTACAGCCCGCCAGCCCACCCTGCTCAGACTCTGACGCCCCGCCCTGAACCGCCCGGTCTTTCCCAGGGCAGGCAGCGCCAGCGTATGGGTACCCTGCGACCCCACCTGAGAGCCAGCAGCGCCCGCGTGGCGTGCGGGGTTCCGCCAGCCCTCGCCAGCGAGCACAGGCTCTGCTCTGCCCTCCCTAAAGTCTTCAGGGCGGAACTGTCTGGGAACGAGAGGGATGAGGAAGGAGGGCGGGAGAGGCCATAGTCCCTTTCAGACTGTGAATTTCCCCTTTTCTTTGGCAACTGGGAGGCCACGTTTGGCGGAACTAGTGGGCATACTGATCTCAGCTGCAGTTTTACTTGCCTTCCATGTCCTTTGTTCTCACCTGCTTTGTTAGTATGTTTACCTTTTGTACCTTCCAGGCTTCATTTTGGTCAGTCCCCTGTACCCTCTGTGGGAATGCAGGGCGTGAATGTGACCTGTACCCTCTGTGGGACACGCAGGGCACGAGGACATGCATGAAGCGGGACAGAATGCTGTCCTTTCTTCGGCTACCCATCCCCAGCGCCCAGGGCAGCGAAGGTCACAGTGCTACTGAAAACACAAACGAGGAAAGTAACACAGACCGAGGCACCGACCCAGCAGCGCTGCGGGGCCCCCACCGGGCGCTGAGTCCTGGGGGAGCCCGCTGCACAAGCACTGCCCTCCAGCTGCCGGCCCTGCGGGTGTGGTGGGGGCGGGGGTCCCAGGGAAGGCTCCTTCTGAAGGGAGATGTCACTCAGGAGGGTCAGGGCAACAGCTGTTTACCAGCCTGCACAGAAGCATTTTAATATTTTTACACCCTCAGCACAAGCTCGTTGAGTAAGGAAGTGTTTTCCGTGGCCTTTAATGTTCTCCCTGTGACAGGCCCTGCTGCCTGGGCGAGTTACTGAGGGAAAGCGCGGCCAGCCCTGTTCCCGCCAGGACCACCTCTTCAGGGACGGGCCTGCAGGGGCAGAAGCATCAACACGGCCAGTCCACACTGGGAGACGGCTGAGTGGTTTCCAGGGCACCTCCGGCCTTCCCTCCCCGCAGGCTGGGGAGGGGCGATGCCTGGGGCAGCCCCGGCGTCCTGTGCTCCGACACAGGGCTGCCCGGCAGCTCGTCAAGTCTGAATTCCCAGATGAGCCACTGGCTTTTCTACGGAGAGCAAGCGGAGAATATCGTGGGGAGTGTCCCGCTGATGTGGCACTCACCGACCACTTCCACCCCTTCTCCTACCACCTACCCTCATTTTACACTGATGCGCCTTTTCATCTGCCCCCACCCTCAACTTTCAGATTCACTGTCACGTTACTGAACTTGCACCGTTCTTCACTTAAGTGAACTCCTAACTCGCGTCGGCTCCCTTTGAAGGCCTGGGCTCTGATGTCGCACACAGACAGTGTGTGGGACGGGGAACAGTGGATTCAAAGGCTGGGGATCCTGCTTGTCATCCTGGGGGGTCTCAGACAAGCCCTCAAGTCCACTGCAATGAAGACTTGCAGCCAAAATCAACCTCCTAAGGAAAGGATAAAGGTTAACTATTCGGCTCTGTTAGTTTCCTTGCCTAACATCTTACGGGTCTCCCACCTCAGAGTTTAAACCCAGCTTGTACGACGACAACAATTTGGGACTGTGGCTACCAGTGTGAACCCTGGAATTGGAACGAATCTGGGTCCGAACCCCAGTCTTGGCACTTAACTACTAACGGGACTCAGGGCAAGCCGCCCTGAGTCTCAGTTCCCTCACCTGTCACATGGGGAGGACAGCGCCCTCAGACGATGGCTGTGAGGATTAAGGAAAGCGCAGCACACCAAGCTCTCTGTGCAGCCAGAGGACCCAGTGGTGGTCGTTAAAATAGCTCCGCGCCTCCCCGCACGCTGGTCCCCCTGCCTGGCAGAGCTCCGTCCTCTTGCCTGCCCTGGGGGATTCCTGACCAGATGCCTCTCCGCCTCCTGTCTTGCCACGAGCCATCCATCTCTCCCTCATTTGTGCAACTGAGAAGACAGATACACTAACTCTGGTTATCACAGGGTGAACGAGCCCCGCCTCCCTGCGGGCGGGGCCCATGTCCTAAGCATCCGAATCCAAGTGCATAGTAGCAGGCTCTCCAATACGTCTGCTGTGTGAACTAAGCAAATCCTTGATATCAATACCCCTCTCTCCTGGATTAGCAACGAAGCCTAACTGTTAATTGTGTCATTTCTCCCATCAAAAGAATTTAAATTAAAGCATAATTGCTACCGCTGATACTGTATTCCTACAGGCAGTTATCTGAACACGAACATCTACAGATAAAGGCTCTCTAATGAGAAAGTTCTTGTCTAACATTTCAGGTTTTCTTCAGGAATTGTTAGCAGGTGCAATTGAAAAGATCTTGACACGTCAGGGTCAGTAATTGAAAATGTGTTGCTTTTGTAATAAACAAGTTAACAGAATTTTAAGGATGGAAAATAATTACATGAACACTTAGCATGTATACAGAAATTCTTACTTTATAAAGCCCTTTTAGTTGCTTCTTCTAATTGCCTTGTGCTAGTGAAGGCAGTTGTATTCGTGTTATATTGGAGATCATCTATAATCAATAAATACTACAGTCAAAACTCAGCTCTGTTTCGGCCAACTTCAGTGGCTTTTATAGTGGCTGCTGAATTCAGATTTAATAAATTATATTATTATTATTATCTGCAGTTTTCTAGAGGCGAAGAGTATACCTGTGAATCCGTCTTGGAGTAGGACCAACAGTACCGTTCCCCTCACAGGACTTAATAAATGTTGCTGATGACAGTAACTACGTGTAATCTCGAAAAGGAAAAGATGTTTTGTGAAATTTATTTGAAATTTAGAGAAATTTAAAACACCAAGCATTACAATAAATAAAATACCTCGATGCAGATGTGATGCATTCCTCCAGCCTTGTTTTTCTGCAGAAAACCCGCAATGGGGCTGTCATTTCCCAGTGGGTGAAGCAGTTCCATTTTGGTGTTTCCGAGGTTGACAAAAACCACAGACACTCCATGGTCAGGAAGAGGGACCACATCGCTCACCTGGGCCCCCAGAACATCCTGGTAAAAGGCCCTGGCCTTCTCCAAGTCGGGCACGGCAATGGCCACGTGGTTCAGCCGCCCCAGGCTCCAGACGGCGCCAGCCACTCGAGGTGGGGACTGCGAGGTAGACAAAGCCCGGAGGGCTGGAAGTGGCGTTTGAAGTCTGGGGAAAAGCCCTGGAAAATGGAGCAGTCATTGAGATCCTTCTTTTGAGATGAATGTACTTTTAAAGTTATTTTTTAAATGAAACAAATAATCAATGGAGAAATTACTTACATACCTATTCTTTTGAATGACTGAAATGAAATCAGGGGAGATAAATGGCAAAACTGTGTAAAATTACTCATTCTGTTCTGAAATAACCGTCTGAAATTAAAAACGTAATTCTGAGCTTTTTAGATTCAGAACAAAGAATGCCATTTTTCATAAGTTTATATTTACTGATAACACATAAAGGGTAGCTGCTATTACTGAGAATTATTTGCTATTCTCTGCATTTCACAAAGGGCACGTTTGAAAGTGATAATGAAATAACACATTCACTGATGAGAACAAGCAATTTTCTTCCCTCTCTATAACTGATTTTTTTGTGTTATCATCTATAGTAAGTTCATTAAAGCCATGACCTTGCAGTACTTTTTAATGTGCATTTTATTTGAATGATTATCAACCAAAGTATCTCACTATTGGGGGGAAAAAGAAGCAAAGATCAAGAGGGTACTCCAACCAATGAGAATTTCCTCTGAGACAAGATTTTTAAAAAATATTTTTTATAATGTTGAAGGATTCCAAGCCAAACCCCTTCTGAATACAAAGAAATCCCTTTCGTTCAGAAGCCGAAGAGGCCTGCTATGTGTTCTCTGTTATTATTCTGTGTCCCCTGCCCCTAATCTCTGGACTTCAAGAGCCACATTCTCCCTGGAATGAAAGTTACACACGTGCACAAGGTCTAAACACAATCTTGTAAAGCAACATCACTTGATAAAAAACTACGATATAGCAAACTGAAGAACACATTTTAAATAATACTTTTAGCTCTTAATGCAAAACATTTTAAACAGTACCTAGTATCACAGAGCTTCAGCTGACATAAAATTCTTCTTTACTGAAGTTTTCGATAAGAAAGAAATTAAAGTGACAGTATTTGATTTAGGACCATAAACCTTGTGGGGAGAGGCGGTCTCACGCACGCAGTCTTTCCACCCCACCGAGCCACACAGGGACAGCCCTCAGGCCTGGCGCAGGTCCTTGTCAAGAGCAGTGGCCCACCCAGCCGGTGCCAGGCCTACTGCCCGGTGCTGGGAATGTCACTTCTTCCCTCAGGCTCCATGAAGGCGCCTTTGTCTCTGCGGACAGTGTGGCTTGCCATGGCCAACCCCATCGTTACTGCTGTCTCCCGAGTGGAGGGGACAAGGTTCTTTCTACTGTGGCACAAAGGGGGTGTGCAAAGGCAAACTCTCCTGCTGTCCTGTGCAGGCCACTGTGAGAGCCCTGCTGGCCGTGGGTGACTGACACCGGCTTCTTAAAGAAGCTGCTCTCGCTCTTTAAGTAAAGCGGGTTCCACATGGGGCTTGGAGACTCTGATCCATAGATGCAATGGGCGTTTGTTTAGTCTCCTCCTCTGGGACTGATGACCAGAGTGTGGCGCTCTGCTCGACACACCTGGTACACCACAGGTCAGCAGAGACAAAAGCCAGCCTAGCGTGGCCTTCTGCTAGGCTCCAGCCTGGGTTATTGATTACCGGACTTCCCAAAGGTCCCCACTATCACTAGGCAGGCACCGCCCTGTTCTGTGAACTCATGGTATTACCGCGACATTCAAGCGTATCCCAACCCAGGACACACACACATAACTGTACTACTGAAAGTGAATTTCATAAAAAGAATACCTAGTGTTCACGAGCTGTGATGTGCTCTACTATTTTCTAGTCTATTGTATTTTATTTCAGTTTTAAGATACTGGTACTACCCACTAAATCTCCATCTTGCTGGTTTGTTGTGAAAATTAGATATTTGATATAAAAATATATAGTACAATGCCAGACACACAACAGGTGCACAATAAATTGAGTCCCTCTTACTGTTCATGACACACAACGATTGTCTGCTAGTTGAGTGGCATGCAGGGTTATCTGTGGAGACCAAGAAACTGTCTCCAAGTCACAGAGGAGTAGTGAACTTTAAAAATGTTAATGACCAGCAAAATCACTGGTCAAACTGCCTGTCCCTCTTTTCCCCTGCATCTCTGATATGTGTACCAACTGCAATGAAAGGTCAATGTGGAATGTATTTGTGTTAAAAAACTGTGCATTTAGGGTAATATGCACAATAAGTCACTGGATCTGTAAAATTCGGAGGGTATGTCAAATCTGATTCTAGGTGTTTCTAAATTCTAACCCATGTCATCTCTGCAAGGCACGGGGCAGCGGGAGGAGCCTTGGCAGGTGTCCTGGTACCAGCGCAGGGGCACACGGAAATGTCGGAACAAACCAGACGTCCAAGTGAAGGTGACGGGTTACATACAACACCACTTTCCTTCAGGGACATTTCAAAAACTGGAGACCTCACTGTAGTCTACCTTTCTGCAAAACCTCCTTATCCTTTGGACGGGGAAAAGAGGGAGCAATTTCCTAGAATGGCTCATTCTTTTTCCTTTTAATAGAACACAGAATCTTCTTAATACGTTAGGAAGATGAGTAACATCTTTATATGAAAGTCAAGACTACAGCAATATAGGTTTACCTTATCTCTAGAAATGGAAACAAGTTTGAGAAAGGAAACATCCCTTTATTGGTTTTATTTGGCCCCTAAAGCCTATGTTCCAGGGATAGGACAAAAATAAATACAGTGATACTGGTGAGAATGCAATCATTCAGCTTCTTTAAAATGGTTAGGGATATAAAAATGGCCAAAATGTACATGATGTACTCAACATCATTAGCCGTCAGGGAAAAGCAAATCAAAATCACAGTGAGATACCACTTCACACCACAAAGGAGGTGTTGATGAAGATGTGGAGAAACTGGAGCCCTTGTACATGGCCTGGAAGAATGTAAAATGGTACAGCTGGCATGGAATAGGTGGGCAGTTCCTCAAAAAGTTATATACAGAATTACCACAGGACCCAGGAATTCCATTCCTAGTTACCCAAATTAATTATAACAGGGACTCAAACAAAAATTTGTATGTATTCATAGCAGCACTATTCTCAAGAACCAAACAATGGGATATTACTCATTCTGTACCATGTAATATTATCCATACAATGGATATAAAATACTAATACTTGCTATAACATGGATGAACCTTGAGAACATTATGCTAAGTGATAGAAGCTAGACATAAAGGGTCATACATCGTATGACTCCATTTATATGAAATATCCTGAATAGGTCAATCTGTAGAGACAAAAAAGGAAGATGGTGGTTGCCAAGGGCTGGAGCGAGGAAGGAATGGGAGTGACTGCTTCATTGGTAGGGGATTTCCTTTTGGGGCAATGAATGTGTTGGAACTAAATAAATGTGATGATTGCACAACACAGTAAATGTAATAAATGCAGCTGAATTATACATTTTAAAATGGTTAGTTTTTACGTTTTATGAATAACCCTTAAGGGAAAAAAAGGTGGTCCTGGCAGTCAGTCTATGGGTGAAGGGTGAAATAATAAAAGTACTTCTGAAAATATACATACAAAATGCTGCTCTGATAGTCCAATTATTATTTATATGTTCACCTTCAGGTTCTATGGTTGGGAACATGGGCTCTGGTGCCAGGCTGCCCAGGTTCAAATCTCAGCCCTGCCACGTTGCGTAACTTGGGCCAGTTGTTTACCCTCTTTGTGCCTTTGTCTTCTTATACAAGAAGCCAATACCTACCTCACAGGATTGTCATTAGACTAAAATGAATACATATAAGGGGTGCCTGACACACACAAATAAATAATGAACTCCAAGGAGTATCATTAGCACTTTAAGAAAGGTTACAAAATAACTTTTATAAATGGAAGCATCTCACGTTGTATTCCTTTAAAGGAAAACGTTGACTATGCACCTACCCTGTACTCGGTAGTACACGGTAGAATACAAATCCCATGCAACAGCTAAAGATTGCTTGCATTGGGCCCATGTCTTGGCACACATAGTGCTTCTGTATTCACTGCACCGTTTCATAAATCCAAGACCTATTACTCTTTATGCAGAGACTACCCTTTCACTCAGGAGAACGTCACTGTGTTACTACTGATCTAGAACATGCTCGGTAGTCTTTCAATATTTAGTGACTACTGACATCCTGGTGGAATAATGTCACTGGAAGGCACTACAAGCACAGTGTTCTTTTTGCATTTTGATACAAGAATACTGACTTACGACTTTTCCAAGTTAAAATTAGTTGTTTATGGTAACTCCCTAACTCCCTTACACTGCTCCTGACTATTGCTTTAACTTGGGAACGAACTCCTTTTGGTGTCATGTAAAAGTGGAAACTATATTTATAATTCTGCCTTCAAAAACCCACAAACTGGTTATGGTCCCCAATGCAGACATGCCTCAGACTCAAGGCATTCTTCCTCCTGCTGGGATCCAGAATCTGTGGAGGACAGAACCCCCTGGCCTAACCATTCCCTGATTTGACCTCTTCTTCCTAGTAGAGACCCGCGGGTTAATTTCACTGTTACTGTTACTTAGGCAGCGAGACTTCTTTGCAATCTTGCCTCAGCAACCTGTTAAATCACAAATTCTGAAACGAGAGTGGATCACGCCACAGCCCGGCTCGGACCAGGAGTCTTTATGGCCATAAAATAGAGCTAATAGTCATAGTCCGGGGAGCACTTTAATCGTCACAGTAACTCTGTGAATTAGGTAGTAGTAGTTTTCCCACTTAGAGATCAGGAAAATAGGCCTGAGTAAGTAATTTTCTTCAAAGTCACACTAGGTGGCAAAGCTGGGCCCCAAACTCAGGTCTGTCTGACATCGAAGTGCATGCTGTTAAGCCATTACGTTTAATTTTTCTCATTCCTCTGAAATTCTTTACCATTCTTTTGATCCTCGGTTTTCAGTATCTCCAGTTTATGTTCTCTGAGCAATATCTACTTGCTAAGAGATGGCTTTTGAGACATAATAAGAGACGACACTTTTATGACTTCTTTTTGTTTGTTTCTTGCAAAGGGCTACGTTTTTTTGTTTTGCAATGGTATATCAGATAAGATGCTGACTCGCATTTTACCAAGGAGAGGAAAGAGGGTCCAGGAGGGCACGTTATTAGCAGAACTTGGGTTCTCATTTGTTAATTAGAGATTCGTTTTAACAAGCTGTGCTCAGCCTGTTATAGTATTTTTCACGCAGACATACCGCCTCTTTAAACGGGTAGCGCCCTGAGGCCATTGTCCCACACCGCTTGGCAGGGGGCTGGCTCATCGCTTCGCCCTGGTCACTAGTGATCAACGGAGCCCTGGTTTGGCCTGAAGACGGGACTTGAGGGTGCGCAGCGCGGTACATTTCAGAGGCGGGGTGCAGAGCGCACCTTCCCGGCGAGGAGCCTGACGTTCTTCAAGGTTCACCCCCTCGAACGCTTTCTGAAGGTGCTGAGCTGAAGGGTTTTCACCCCTATTCGGGAGCAACGCAGAGACACTCCCACGCGGCACTGGCTTCCTAGCAGGGAGTTCCAGGTGCAGGGGAAGAGCTGCGCTCCGATGAGGACGAGAAGCAGCGGGAGTGGGGAGAAAGCGGGCCAGCGAGTCAGGACACCTGAGTTTCTGTCCTCACTGATTCTAGGCAGCCTTTTAATTTTTTTTTTATTTTTTAATGGATAACTCAAGGAACCTAACAAATGTGTCTGCTTTTCTCTTTCCTGCTCATATACAAGAATATAACTTTATTTGAGCCGGTTCCGGGGGAAACGCGCCTCTTCCCCCAACTGACCTTCAAGTGCTCCCAGCAGGTGGTGGAAATGCTCGGAGGCCAGCTGACAGGACCTGTTTTACAGGACGTGCCCTTCTTTTTGGTTTCACCCGTCTCTCAGGGCGCGCCAAAAAGTAAACTCAGCGTCCCTCTGCCATTTACGTCTGTCCCGGCCTTGCTGTCCCCACGGACAGGTTCCCTAGCCTCTCTGGGGCTTCACGAGAAAGGGGCAGCGTTAGCTGCACGCCCTTCCCAGGGCGGCTGTGAGACCCGCAGAATGAGGACCCGCCCCCCGACCCCGGCTAACCTGACGCGTTCCCGGGAGATACCTTCTACCTACAGGTGCTGATAGCGGCGCTGGGCACGCGCCTGAGGGGGGAAGAGCGCGGCACACCTAGTCGCTCCGACCACCCCGGACTCCTGCAGCCCCGGGCTTTCCGGCCCTCGCGCCCCACCCCACGGCGAGCCCCGAGGGCGCGGGGTATTCACCTCCTGCGCGCGCAGCCGCCGCCGCCACCACCGCGGCCACCTTCAGCACGCGCGCCATCTTGGGAAGCGGCAGGCTACCTCCCGACGAGCGTCCGCCCGGGCGTGGAGCTCGGCCGAGGGGCGGGGCAACGTGGCCGGAGGCGGGGCTGAAGGGCGGAGGGGCGGGGCGTTTGAGGTTAGGGGGCGTGGCGAGTAGTGCAGCGCCTTGGCGGGTTCCGGGGTGCGGCCCCGCTCTTATTTACAACACAACGTATTGAATCTTAGTGGATCTAAAGCGCCCCTAAAAGAAGGGCGCGCCATCCACTGCGGGCCCCTCTGGAATACAAAAATGGAATGTTTGGAGGAAGTTCCAAGGCGCACGACCTAACCAATAGCTATTTTCTGTTTCGCGCTCCATCCCCTGCGCAAGCGCAGTGGAGGCCCTCGCGCTGCCAGCGGCTCTGGCTGGGGGTGGGTCCGGAACCTGTATAAGGCGGAATCTTTGCTTCTGCGCTCCAGCGTGCGCGAGGCGCTTCTCTGTGACACGTTTCCGGCCATCCTTTTTTCCTTCCCATGCGGCGCTGTGTGCGGAGTTTTAGACAGCCATGGCCCCGCCGGTCTGGCGTCAGCGGACCCTGAAGCGGTGTCTGGACGAGGTTGGTAAAAACACAGGCCGGCCGGAGTGCTTCCTCACGTAAGTGCGCAGAGCGTGGGCTAGGGATTCGGCCCAGGTCTCACGTGGGCGCGGGCTGCGGGCGTGTCAGTTTCTGGAGGAAGGGGAAGGTACAGGGAAGCGTAGATCTCTTTTCCCCAAAATTCAGATCGTTTCTGCGCCTGTAGCCTATCAAAAGTTTTTAAAGTTGTACAGTGCGGATCTCGCAGTCGCCTGCTGTTGAAATCAAACTAAGCTCAGTTATCAACGCCCGGAGGCCTCCTTTGAGCCCTACGCAGTCCCTGCTCCCCTACGCACACGCACACCGCCGCACGCTAGGTTGGTTGCTGATTTCTCCCGTGTACTCCCAAAGCCCCCAGTGCTTACTTGCGCATCGTCATACTTTATTGAAAGTATTAACTTGTCACTTGTCTGTCTGTCCACCCCCACGACTGAGTTTCTGGAAAATTAGGACTGTCTTTCCTCTCTCTTCGAAACGTAAGCTCTTTGTACTCTGTTGAAGGATTTCAAAGGGCGATCTATGAAAGTGTGGCTCTCAGATTTATGTTTCAAACCTCACCTCTTGAGCTCTAGGCTCACAGGCACCTACAGCCTCTATACTCTCAACATCTCAAATTTAATATGCTTGATATGAACTGTTGCTTCTATTTACTCCCCTACACTCTGCCCTCCCACGAATTCTTGGCCCTTGTTCCCACCAGCCTTCTGTCTCAGTCGATGGCGCCTCTGTCTTTCCCATCATTCAGACATAGAACTAAGCTACTTCCTTTATGTATCCCATTTCCTCAATTCTACATCTCGTTCATTACCAAATCCTGTTGGTTCTATGTCCTAACCTTATTCTAAATTTGACTACTCAAATTTAGTGTGTCCAGTGCTCTAATCTCAGCACAGTTCTTCCTCATCCTTTGCCCAGAAGGCTGCATCCACCTCCTAATCACCCAGTTTTCATTCCTTTCCTCCATAGGCTGTATCTCCAAAGCATAAACTAGGTCATTTTAGTCTTCTGCTTAAAACCTTCTCTTTACACTTAGAATGGCAAACTCATAACTCTGAGCCTTACCAGACGAGGCCCCCATCAACGTCCCTAACCTTACTTTCTGCCTCGTTCACCACATTCCAGCCATGCTGACCTTTCTGCCCCTCAGACTCACGAAGTGCATGTCTATCTTAGGACGTTTATTCTTGTAGTTTCTTCTGCCCAGAATACATGTTTCCAAATCTTTGTAAGACTGTCTCCTTATGTGTAGCTCTCATCTCAGATGTCACAGCCTCAGAGAGGTGTTCTCTGTCCACTTTTGCCAAAGCAGCGGCATTTAATAGAGCAGAGTTGAGAATGTAAGGTTGTGTTTCAGAATAAAACTCTATGCAAATTGATCTGTAACAGATTCCCCACTAAAATCCTACGGCAGATTCACAGATACTTGTTTGACGCTTTTATATATTAAAGTGGCTCATCAGCAAGATTGCCCACTCTTGGGGACCAGAATCTATACTTAAAATTGACATTTCATTCAAATTTGACTTTGCACAAGAGGTGGGCGTGTGGTTTTTTTCCTTTTGATTTCAGAGGACTGTGAAATTATTACCTCTAAATATAAATCTCCTATCACTTTCTCCCCTGCTCCCTTCATAGGATTCAAAATGACTTGGCATCAAACTTCACGTCTTTAACAAAAGTACTTTATGACTTTAATAAAATCCTAGAGCGTGGCAGGATCGACGGAAGTCCTCTACAGAAACTGGTGATAGACAAGTTTGACGATGAGCAGATTTGGCAACAACTGGAACTGCAAAATGAGCCAGCCTTACAGTACTTTGACAGTGCAGTTAGTGAAACCCTTAACGACGAAGATATCAGTCTTCTCCCAGAGAGTGAAGAGCAGGACAATGAAGAGGATGGCTCAGAGATGGAGGCTGCTGGCCAGGAGGACCTAGACCAGCACGTGGAGGAGGAGCACGTGTCAGACCTAAGCGGCGATGAACCTGAAGGGGATGAGGCAACCAAGCGCCTGAGCAAAGGTGATCTGCAGAAAAGCCCAGTTTTCAGTGATGAGGATTCTGACCTTGACTTTGATATCGGCAAATTGGAACAGCAGACCAAGCTGCAAAACAAAATGCCCAAGAAACCAAGAGAAAAGTCCATAGTGGATGATAAATTCTTCAAACTCTCCGAAATGGAGACCTTTTTAGAAAACATGGAGAAAGAGGAGCAAAAAGATGATGCTGAGGAGGAAGAGATTGATTTATTTGAAGATATTGACTCGGATGAAGATGAGGGAGGACTGTTTGGAAGTCAAACACAAAAACTTAAGGTATAAGTTTTGGGAGAGGAGAGAAAGCGTCCCTTTTTTTTTTTTTTTTTTTTTTTTTTTTTTTTTTTTAAATCCTCCCTTGACGATATGTTCATTGATTTTTAGAGAGGAAGGAAAGGAGAGTGAGAGAGACATCAATGTCAGAGGGAAACGTCAATTGACTGCTTCCAGTACACACCCTGACTGGGGACTGAACCTGCAACCTAGGCATGTGTCCTGACCAGGGTTCAAACCTGCAGCCTTTCGGTTTATGGGACAGCGCTCCAACCAACTAAGCCACACTGTCCAGGGCAAGAAAGAGTACTTTTTACCTCCTCGAGTTATATTTTGTTCTGTTTCTTGGGAAGAGGTTAAAATACCTCAAAACTCACCAAGGCATAAGAGAAATATTTAGATCAGTTAAAAGGAATTGAATGGAAAAATTAAACCATCATTTCTATATCACAGAACACTTGTAGCTTAAGAACCGTAATCACATATGTTATGTTCAGAATATTCCCTCAAACATGTATTTTTACCTAACACTAAAAATAATAGTGAAAGGAAGGCATTTGTATACTTTATTTAGGCAGGGATATTTTGGAAATAATTGTAGTTAGACCATTTAGAGATAGGAATATTGTGCTCTATCTAATCAGACTTAAAGAACCCATACTTTCAGTCTGTTATGGTCTAGTAGTTCTTAAGGATTTATGGTAGTGTTATTGGTTAGTAATTTTCCCTGCATAATACTAAATACACATATAAGCCTGATTTCATGCATTTTGCTACCCTTAATTAAAAGTTAAATTTTTCTTGTTTTGTTTTAGTCAGGTAAAAGTTCCAGGAACCTGAAATACAAAGATTTCTTTGACCCAGTTGAAAGTGATGAAGATGTAGCAAGTGTTCATGATGAAGAACTGGGTGAAGAGGAAGAAGAGGAAGGAGAAGAAGAAATTGCTGAAGAGGAAGGAGGAGAAAGCCTGTCAGAAACGTGAGTATTTTCAGTGATCCTCTGCATGTAGGCTGGAGCTGCCCAGTCATATGTCCTAAGAAGTTAGATTCTCTAAGATCTCTAAGATTCACTAAGAAAGACAGAAGAAAGTCAACTCATAACGGGGGAAAGAAGGGGAAGGGTCAAGTCAAGGACCCTGTAGAAAGGACCCGTGGGCAAGGACAGCGGGGGCAAGGGGGGCAGATCAGGGGAGAGCAATGGGGGGAAAATGGGAGCAACTGTAACTGAACAAAATTTTTTTTTTAAATACATATGAAAAATAAAAGTCAAACAGTCATGAGAGGTCACCTAGTGAAGATAAACATCACTAGCAGTAGCACTCAAGCCTTTGTTACAAAGAGCTTTGATTTGTTTTTTGGGCCAATAAAAATAACCCTGTCGTTATTTGTACGCAATAACATCGCATTATATATGGACAGGAATTTACGTTGCACACTTTTTGTTCCATTTCACCTCAGTCGTTGCTTCTGTTTTTCTTTACTAACTGAAAGACTTTAGAAGTTCTGAATATTTAGTTGCATTACTTAGAAGAAGGGAACTTTAATTGCTAGAGAATTTGTTTCTTTTTGTTTTCCTATTGAAAAGCATTTTATATGTGTTTTGACACTATAGGGATGAAGATTATGACCTGGAAGAAACTGAAGACAGTAAACAACATAAAGAAACCTCGAAAAGAGTGACCTTTGCTTTGCCGGACGATGAGGAAACTGAAGACACAAGTATCTTAAATGTGCAGAAAGACTCTGCCGAAGTCAAATCCTCTTTCGAAAAAAGACAGGAAAAGGTAATAAATAGGAATTTAAGGAATTTGTTAACATGCTTAACGTGACTGTGAAGCTTGCAGACTACTAATCTACTGTTTTTCTTGGCAGAATGCTTGATTATCCTTTAAAACAGCACACAAATCTTGCTGCTCAGTAGAGCTCACTATAGAGATGCCCATGGGAAAAGCACCTCATTTGTAAAAATCGGTGCTGCAATCCCAGCCCGTGGCTTTCAATGTGTGGAGCCTCTATAAACGTGTTTCTTTTCCCTGTCCCTGCTGTCTTCTCACCTAAGGCTTGTCTTTCCAAGTTAGCTGTCCCGTGACCCTCTCCTTGTAACTGTCGGTAGCTGCTCCTACAGATCCTGTGTGTCTCTTTGAGGTGCTCCTCAGGTGGCTTTCATGAGTGCCACGTAGACGGAATTTTAATTAATCCCATCTCCAGCGCATCTTCCGAAGTTGATGAAAATTATCTCCACGTCACCTGATTTCAGACAAATGAAATGTCATTTGAAAATAATATCGTCGGGCTCCGGTTAGTTGGCTGTATCATTTAACTGCCTTAAAATCATATCCAATAATTAGAAATGAGGATAGGCAAATAGCCAAAGATACCAAGGATATCAAAAGAATTATTTTAAAAAAGAATCTGAGTTAAATCTATGATTGGCAGAGTGTCTTCAGAAGAGAGGGGAAGTCTGAAGGGATAAAAAGGAAAGCGCTGTAAAAGAAAATGAGAGATTTTTCACTGAGTTCATGTCCTTCCCTCCCCCTAAAAGAAGAAAGAAAAGCAAGTTTCATTTTACTGGGGAATTATATCAGACTCTTAAGAAATAGATAATTTAATGCTGTTTAATGAATTTCCATATATAAAGAGTAAAGCTTACAAACTGTTTTCTTGTGAAGCTGTTACAACATGAATAGTGAAGCATGACAAAGGTAACATTAAAGCATACACATGAGTGTCATGTATGAGTAGTGATGGGAGAACCCACAATAGCACAGTGAGATATTAATGCCACCACACCCATGTGGGCCTCATTGTCTCGAATCAGGATTAGGGAATCTATTAATTCAATTCTGGATTGTAACAGGTTAAGGAGAAAAAAAAAATCGTATGGTCAGCTCCATATATGTCAGAAAGACATTTGATAAAATTCAATGTCCATTTCTAATTTTTTTTTTACTCTTACTGGAATGCAAATACATCTAGGCAAAAGGTACCTTCACACTTAATGGTAAAATTCTAGAAACATCCCTTTAAAATAAGAAGACAAAATGGCTGCTATTAGCACTGTTATTTAACATTCCTATAGAATTTGTAGTTGCCAGTGCAACTATAAAAGAAAAAAATAAGAGGTAAGAAAAACTGAAATGAACGCGTTCCTCTTTGCAGGTAATCCCAGAAAAACCAAGCCGATGAACTGAAAGCTGTTAGCGAAAATAAGAGAATTCAGTTAGGGAGCTGAAAAGACTGGCATTTGATACGCTGTGCAGTCATTATAGATGTCGTCGTTCAGAAGTGAGAGAGGACTTGGACTGGGATGTGGAGTCAAGGGGCAGGCTCCATCGGGTACTAATGTAATGAAATACACGACTTAATCTTGGAGTGCTCTAATAATTAAAATTGTTAGTAGCTTGTAAATAGGTAGATCATTTGACTAGTAGAGCCTCAGAAATACACTAAAATGATTCTGGGGGGTGGGATTAGTATATTACAAACTTGACATGTCATATCCCTGGGGAAAAGAGGTCCTCACCCAACCTCAAGTGACAGGGGTGGGAAGTCACCACCGGCACAATGAAAGGGACAGGAACGCCATAGCATTGTATTGAGGATCAATACATTTCCTTCCCACTTAAAAATACTTGTTGCTCCTGCCCAATGAGACGTCCAATTTTGTTTCCTAAATGTGCGATAACTCTTTGTGTCTCTTCCTTAGATGAATGAAAAAATTGCATCTTTAGAAAAAGAGTTGTTGGAAAAAAAACCCTGGCAGCTTCAAGGGGAAGTGACGGCACAGAAGCGCCCGGAGAACAGCCTCCTGGAGGAGACGCTGCACTTCGACCACGCCGTCCGCATGGGTAGGTGCGCCCGCGCGCCCTGGGCTCCTGCCCGTGGCCCCGCCGTGCTTCCCCGTGGGTCTGGTTTTCAGAAAGACTTGACGAGTATTTCTCTTCCCCCAGCCTTGTAGATTAAAAACTGGCCAACATACAGAGGGATGGAAGAAATAGTACAGGGAATATACGTTTGCCAGTCACCTGGGTTCATTGTTACCGTGTTATATGTCTGCTGCATACGTGGGTGACTGTGTGCGCACATTTTCCCCACAGTCCTTTGAGAGTAAGTTGTTAATATCATGACACTTTACTCCTAAATACTAAGCGCTTACTCCTAAGTAACTAAGTTCTTCTCAGAATGAGGACATTCTCCTGTACAGCCACGAGAACATTACCCACCCAAGAATTACGGATACACTAACAGTACCTTACGTGTAGTCCATTCTCAGAGTGTTGCTAGCGTTCGGTGTACAATGCCTGCTGCCATTGTCCACTGATTACATTGTGATCTCTAGCCAGAACCCCCTCCCATTCTTTCTTGCACCCATGAAGTGAAAATGAATTTCCTCTGTATCCAGTGCTAGAGAGAATGGGAAAGGGGGCAACTCCCCAGGTGCGAGGGTAGAAGCGTCTGGTTTGGCGGTTCTGCAGGGGGCGGGGCATCAGAAGGGCTGGTGAACACAGGCAGGCGCCCCTCCCCCACTCCGATTCAGGGGCCGGGTGGGGCCCGAGATTTCGCAGTTCCAGCAGCTCCCAGGTACCGGTGCCGCTGGTGCATGGGCGCCCGTTGCGGACCACTGGTCCAGGTCCTACCTCCCCACTGAGGACGTGTCTCCTTGCCTCTAGCGCCTGTGATCACAGAAGAAACCACCCTTCAGCTAGAGGACATCATTAAGCAGAGGATCAGAGACCAGGTCAGTAAAAATGGCACTGACCTTCACTTAAAATGTGCCGGGAACTTTACAAATACTATGAGAGTATGTGGGGAGCAGGAATAACGCTGTTTTCATAGAAATTGTTATGTCCGTTGTTCGTTTAAAAGCCCTATGTCTATGCCAAAGGCATCCTCAGCTTTTGTTGTGTGAGGCGCTATCTTCACAGGTGGCCCGGAAGGACGGGTGTTGGGAAGGGGTAGCGAGAGCCGCTGCGGGGTCCCCTGCGCCTTGCCGACCCTGCTGGGTGGCGGGAGGTGAAGCGGGGCGGGGGGCTAGTGTCTGACTTGATGTGGTCACACCCAGGACGCCTGCTCTAGGCAGTCTCTGGTGTGACCAATGAAGGGTCTGTTTTTTGTTGCTCTTTTTTTTAATGAAATGTTAAAAACCTAGCAAAGAGGTTTTGTTTAAGGATTGATCTTCTTTTGTACACTCAGACTACAATTCGAGTATGTGACGCATAGAACGAGAGACGGCATTGGAACGTGAATGATGTTTGCCTAACATATGAAGGGTCTGACAAGTGGGCTATGCTGAGTGTCTTTTAAGCTGAACTGAGACAAAACAAACTTGATGTTGACTTTTAAATGAACCATGAAGGGGAAATAGGGGATTAACATTGGTAACCAGGAGGAAGACAAAAACCGAAACACAAAAGCATACTTGAGTGAGGCTCTCTTGGCGTTTTCACACACTTACTCTTTGTGACTTTGAGCAGGCATTTCAGAGTTGACTGTTGCTTTCCTGGTGTGGCAGTTGGCTTCGTCTGGGACAATACTAGATAACCCAGAGGTAGATCCTTCAGCGAGCCTAGAAAGGACAGATTTTGTAAATTGACCTTCCGCCTGCCATTTGTGCCTCAGGCCTGGGATGACGTGGTGCGGAAAGAGAAACCTAAAGAGGAAGCGTATGAATATAAGAAGCGGATAACGTTAGACCATGAGAAAAGCAAGTTGAGCCTCGCTGAGGTTTACGAACAGGAATACATCAAACTCCAGCAGGTAAGGCAGCGTCTGGGGCAATGCCGTCATTATTGGAAGGAGAGCATTAGAGAAGCAGTTCTCCTGGGACGGCTGAAATTCAGGAAACACAGAAAGCTTGAGCTCTTGGTCGACCTTGTGTAAGCGGGAGGCAGAGCAAGCTCAGGGTGGTGGGATACGGGGCTCCCGCTGAGCGAGGGGGTGGGCATTGGCTTGGCACAGAGCAGCGGTCACCTGATACGCCACAGCTACTTGTTACCTTTCCAGCAATTAGAAGAGTAGTGCTGCAGTTGCTAAATCATCCCTCACTCACACTGTAGATGTTGCTGTGTGTTTTATAAGATTATCTGTGGATTCATTCCGATTTTTAGGTCTGGTGGGTATTTTTGGGTTTTGTTTCTTTTTACTTAGATTCTAAAAAAAATAATAATATCTCTGGTTAAATAGAACAAAGTCATATTTCCAAAAATATTACATTCCCAATATAATAATTGTGAATTATTCCTTTACATTGGGTTTAATGGGACTGTGGTCAATATGTACTTAGGGTTGAGATATCGTCATTATTCTGCAAAAGCCGTTGAAGACTGGCCAGGTTTTGTTAACTGATGCCACTCAAGGAGCAAGAGCAAACGGTGCCCTCGGTGCCACCGTGAGGTTGAAGAACAGGGGAGGTTTGAGTTAAAATTCTTCCTGGCCGCTTTGCAACCCAAGGGGCGTGTGGGCAGCCTTGGGAGACGCTTATTGAACATCACCTGGCTACTTTGAGGAGACCAACAAAGGCAGAAAGTAGTTGGTAACTGAGAGTGAAAAATGAGATTAAGTGTCTGACAGACAGCTTGTACCAGCCCTGTAAATGTTTTATTCAGATCGCGAGAGCCCACAGCCAGTTCACCAGTCTGGGAGTGTGGACTCTGTTGAGGCTCATTCTAGACCCGCTCCTTTGAGTCCGTCTGAGCACAGTGGGCAGTATTTCCTGAAGTCTGGAACCAAACTCAAGGTCATGGGCAAAGCGGTGGCGAATAGCCTGTGAATGAACCTTTACTCTTAGTTGTCTTTGTGATCTGTATTCAGGGAGAGATATATTCTATATATCATGTCTGTGATTTACCTGGGATGAGGCAAATGACATGTTTGGGATTAAATGTGAAATAAGTTACAATAGCGAGAAGCAGTAGCGAGCGTTGGGGTGTGGCAGGCGCGTGAGCTCTGCTGACAGATGCTGGGGACAGACCCGGATGCATCTGCAGCGCTGGAGGCGACGGGGCAGTTGCTCTGCAGTTCTGGGGTTTTGTTTCTGTCTTAATAAAAGAGCAAGCAAAAGCAGTCTTAGCCTTTTAGAATAAGCATTTTGGGCCGAGGGGAAGGAAAAATACAAAGTTCGAGTTTTCCCCTCAGTAAAATGAAAACTGCTGGCAGTTTTTTTAAATTTGCATAATCAGATTAAGGAACAAATTACATGTAAATAAAAGAAGGTAAGTCCCTATAATTCCAGGGGATATTTGGATAATTTTACAAAGTCTACATTAACACCTTAGTTGTGTTTTTTTTTAATTGAAGTGACATAAGTTTAACTCCTTTAAAGTGAACAGTTTGCATAACATAAAGGTGATCATTTTAAAGTGAACAATCCAGGGGCATTTCGCGCAGTGTTGTGCAACCACTATCTCTAGTTTCAAAACATTTCCCTCGCCCCCAAAATAAAACCACACACCTTAAGCAGCCGCACCCCATCCCTCCGTCACGCCAGCCAGCCCCGGACAACTACCAGGCTTGGATTTACCTACTTTTAGATGTTTCATGTAACCGGAATCATGCTGCGTGACCTTTTGGGTCTGACTTCTTCTGCTTGCTGTAATGTTTTCAAGATTGTGCTACGTGTCATTGCGACATTTCTTGTTTTATGGGAGGAACAATATTCCATTGCGTGTATGTACCACAGTTTATCTAGTCACCAGTTTCGTGGGCATTGGGGCTCTTTCTACTTGGAGTTAGAGCGAATAGTGCTGCTCTGAACACGTGTGCACACGTTTTGTTTGAGTACCTGTTTTTAGTTCTCTTGGGTATGTGCCTCGGCACGGAATTGCTGGGTCAGATGGCAATTCTGTGTTCAGCCAGCTCGTTTCCGCGGTGACCGTACCTTCTTGCTTTCTCGCCAGCAGCGCACAAGGCTTCCGTCTTCCCCACATCCTCGCCAGCACTTGTTAGCTGGCTTTTGTAATGGTAGCCACCGAGGTGGGGACAGCTCAGTGCCTGACAGAAGGAAATACCAAGGGGGTTAAGCTGGGAGTCCCAGCTGCTGGAAGCAGTGGCTGCTGCGGCTCCCGGACACACGTCCCATGTCTTGCTGGATGTGCGCCGGTGCCATTGTGGTATCGGTCACCTGAATTCTGCCTGGGGTGCGTCACTGGCGCTGAAGCCTTGATGGAGAGAAACGGGGGTCCCCTCATTCGTCTTCAGTGGGTTGTCCTGTGGTGCCCTTGAAGCCGCTTAGGCTCATGTCGTTGGACTTATTTTCTAAGGAAAAAACTGAAGAAGAAAATCCTGAGCACGTGGAGATCCAGAAGATGATGGACTCCCTCTTCTTGAAGCTGGACGCCCTGTCGAACTTTCACTTCATCCCTAAGCCGGTCAGTGCGTGAACGTCCCGTTTTTGCGTGGAGCTCAGGCAGATGGGATCTCAGTTCCTTTCTGAGCGTTTGTGAGACAGGCTCTTTGTTTGGTTTCTATTTACAAAAGCCTGTTTTCCGTCGCTGGAAAAGGAGAAAATCGACCATGCAGTCCATTTTGACTCTTGTTCCAGGGAGCTGTCTTTTCCCACGTAGTTCTTAGGGTGACAAGGTAACATTTACGGGAATCCAGAGTCGGTTCACAGCAGGTGACGCTGAGAACGTATGCAGACAGGGTAGGTTAGTGACAGAGGGGAGAGCTGCTGTTCGAATGCGGCGGAAATGTCCTGCAGGAGCGCAGGCACTGCTGCTCCTGGCGCCGCGTGGAGACGAGGACCCTAAACACGCAGGTGTCAGAGGCACTGTCCCCAACCCGGCCACCGCCCCCGCGAGCTTCAGACTTGCGCTGTCGACACGGCTCGCGTTTTAAACAATCCCCCAAAGGATTTTATGTGTTAGATTTTCAATTGATACGTTCACAACTCCCAGTTCTTTTGTGAGCACTGCTTCTGACTTCCTGTTAAACGTATTGTCTGTCTTCTAGCCTGTCCCCGAGATTAAAGTCGTGTCGAACCTGCCGGCCATTGCCATGGAGGAGGTCGCCCCAGTGAGTGTCAGCGACGCAGCCCTCCTGGCCCCGGAGGAGGTCAAGGTACGGAGCCCGGGCCGAGACACTGAACGCCCGTCTATGCGTGAGCTGTCGGTAGCCAGGTCCCCACTTAACGTCATTTTCCATGAGTTTGTAATTTTTTAATGTATCTCAGCAGTCTCTAAGTATAATCAAAGTACTAATATTATCAGAGTATGTAATTTTCAAATACCAGAGTCCTATAATCAGGCATCATTGTGAGATGCAGGTACGAGCGTTATCATAAATTACTATAAAAGCTATTGGCAAATATCCAATGTCAGTATCTTGTTACAAGCCCTTTGAATAGCAGCAATGTTAGGTTTAAAACAAATTGCATGTGTTGCTTATATGCTATTAGCAATCTTTTAACATCAGCACTTTCCCCCTTATTTCATCCATTTAATGCTTATCAGTAGTGGAATCAGGGTGTAGAACATGAGCATTTGGATGTGGGAGTAGGTTGGATGTGCCAAATGCAGGCAGCTGCTGCCTTGTGATCATGGAACAAGAGGCAGTGACGCGTGTCTGGATAGATTCCCTCCTGTCTCTGGGGGCCCCGCAGTCGGCCTGGTGGCCGTCGACAGCGGCTTAGCTCTGGGGCTGCCTCGGGCGTGTTCCTGGAGCTCAGGCTGGGATCTGGGTGCCGTAGGGGCCGTCTTCGCCAGCGGTGCTACCTCCTGAGACGCCAGACTAACTAGCACAATGGGTCGGTGTTTGTTTTTCAACAGGAAAAAAATAAAGCCGGAGATATAAAAACCGCTGCTGAGAAAACAGCGACAGACAGGAAACGAGAAAGGAGGAAGAAGAAACACAGGAAGCACATGAAAATAAAGGAGAAGGAGAAGCGGAGGAAACTCCTTGAGAAGAGCAACCTGGACCAGACAGGGAAATACAGCAAGGCCGCTGCTGCAGAGAGGCTGAAGCAGCTGACGAGGGCAGGCAAAGCTTCACTGTTAAAGGTGAGGCAAGGCCGCAGAAGGGGATCGGCCCGCGGGGACCTTGGCGAGGAGCGGGTGGCAGGATGTAGCTGATTTGCTGTCCCCTGCACGGACAGAGCCACCGACATGGCCCCCTGGTGGCGGCTGCGTACAGCCTTCCACTCTCGGGGCCTCGCGGCAGTTGGTCCTTCTGCCCTGTCCCTTGAATGACAGGAACACTGTCGCAGCACAGGACGTGTAAACGCCTGTGTCGATTGGCTGCAGTTTTCAGTTTTGTCTATCAGGGTGTCCAGCCTTGGGGCGCCTCCGGGCCACACTGGAAGGAGAAGAGTTGTCTTGGGCCGCACATTAAATACACAAACACTGACCAAAACTGATGAGCAAAAAAATTTAAGTCAATTTCCGATTTTGTGTCAGGCCGCATTCCTAGCCATCCTGGGCCACATGGGGCCCGGGGGCCCCGGGTTGGACACCTCTGATACTCTTTCATAGGCTGTTGTCATTGTTAGGGTTTTTCACCCGTGAGCGCGCTGTGTACATGAAGCCTTGTGATTTTCAATTGCAGGATGAAGGGAAAGACAAAACCTTGAAGTCATCTCAAGCGTTCTTTTCTAAATTACAAGACCAAGTAAAAATGCAAATCAGCGATGCAAAGAAGACAGAAAAGAAAAAGAAGAAAAGACAGGACATTTCTGTTCATAAATTAAAACTGTAATATACTTTGACTGTAATGTAAATATGAATGCCTAAGTTTATATTCTCTCAGTATTCTGTTTTATAAATAAAGATTTTGGGAACTTTTCTCGGCCTGGATGGCAGCTACTTTGAGAATCCCACAGTGTGAAGAGACAAACTCCAGGCTGCCTTTGGAAGCGATTTCTTGCGTTTTCGGGGTGGGAAACAGGAGCCGCTGGCGAGGCCCTTCCAGTACTGAGCCCGCGGGAAAGCCAGCGTGGGCCGCAGGCCAGTGACACCCTATCACAACCAGCCGCCCCCGGCAGACGTGCTCACCCTCTGGGGTCTTGATTTTCTTCCCCCCCTGCTGCCCTGTCAACGTTTCACAAAATGGTGTGATTTTCACGCACAGGCCTGGCACCTTTCCCCTTGGGAAAGGAACTTGTCACCTAGGCCATCGAGTACCGTCCACAGTCAGGTGTACAGAGGACAGGTAGGATCTAAACAGGACAGAGGGTGAACAGCTAGAAGGAAGCCTGGCAGTCAGACGCTTATGGTTTCCAGCCTCCCCAGCCAGGGAATGCTGGCCTTTGGTCTGACAGCATCTCCTTGGACGCTTTGAGTGGAAGTGCCTTCCAGGCGCGTCCAGCCTTTGGTGTCTCTGGGCCACCCCTTAGGTACAGAATGACATGTAATCACAAAAATATCTCTTTTAAGTAAATTCATGATTGTGTGTGGGGCCATAGTCACAGCCATCCCGGGCTGCATGTGGCCCGCAGGCCACAGGTTGGACGCCCCTGCAAGCCTCACGGGTGGAGACCCCTCCTGGCCTTGTTCTGAGACTTGCCTGGCAAGCTTGTCCCTCAAAATGGGCGTCAAGGACATTTCCCAACGCGAGGGGGGCACTCAGTATGTATGATGATTAATTCCTTATTCACGGCTCTTTTCTCTGGTTGGTTCATTTATGCACCCGTTCAACACATGAAGGAATTAGTCACAGTGCTGGCCCCTGTTGCCGGCAGTGACAAGTGACAATAAGCACAGGTCCCCTGCACTCAGAAAGCTTACCGTCCCGTCATTCTTGGGGATGCTGGAAGCCGCTGGTCTCTGGGCCCAAGAGCTGACTGGTAAGCTTTAATTTTTCAGTTAAGCATAGCCATTATAAATTATATAACGTCACAATTAGGCTGTATTAAAAAGAAAAGTAAGAACCCCTCCAAACTCGCCACTCCCTAGTTACACGAGTGTCCCCTTAGGATCCATGGTTCCACTTTCCACCGGTGGTCCACCCCAGTCCAAAAACGCGAATGGAAAATTCCAGAAATAATTTGTAAGTTTTAAATTGCAGGCCATTCTGTGTAACTTGATAAAATTTCGCCAGCGCTTGCTCGGTCCTGCCCCTGCGTGAATAAATCCTTCGTCCAGCATATGCATGCGGAAGAAGCTCCCTGCCCACAAGTCACTTAGCAGCTGTCTCAGTTGTCAGGTCAGTTATCAGAGGGAGATGTCCCAGTCATATAACTCTTATTACAGTACATTGTTATCGTCCTATTTTATTATTATTGTTAATCTCTAATTTATAAATTAAATTCAATCCCAAATATGCATGTATAAGGAAAAACATTATACAGGGTTCGCTATTATCCGCGGTTTCAGGCATCTGCTGGGGTCCTGGGACGTGTCCCGGGAATAAGGGGGTGCGGCTGTACTTGACTCCGTTTTACTATTTTTTTGCCCTGGAGGTTGTTTGCATCTATGGTATCAAGGCGCCAATAGGACTTCCCTCCGAAAGCCTAGCATTACGGGTTGGGTAGAGTCCATCCATACCTGCGTCTTCTTCCGGGAGGGCACTTCACTTTGACGCGTCCGCTTCCCCAACAAGCCACCTTCGCGCCAGCCGAGTGCACGTGCCGGGGGAGCACCTGCGGTCGCCTCCATCAAGTGTGACGGGAAGCCGGTGTCCGGTCGCCCTGCAGGGCTGCGCCCCCGGCAGCCGCCCTGGGTAGAAAGAGGCCTTCGGCATGGAGGGGCGCGGAAATCGATCGCTCGGGCCTCCGCTGGCCGCGCCTGTGCGAGCGAGGCGCGGAGATCGGCTGGGCATGCCTGGCGCGCCGAGCCAGGTGAGAGGCGCGGGGCCGCCGGGCAGGGGGCGCGGGCGCGGGCGCGGGGCCTTGGGAGGCGGGGCCGGAGGGCGAGGGACGGGGTGCGAGCGGTCGGGTGGGTGGCGCGGGCTCGGCGGCGGAGCCCCAGGTGTGCACGCCAGGTGTGTGTGGCCGCGGCCCCCAGGGGACGGCCAGGCTCCCCGCGCGCCCCGGGTTAGGCCTGGAGTAGGCAAATTGTCCCTTTTTAAGAACGGCTAATTCTAGATCTTAAAGCGAGGTCTTAGCGATGATCCTTGCCAAGCCTAGGCCGTCATTTTAGGGCTGAGGTCACACTGAGGTTGCACGTGGAGCCTTGGTCTCCGGTCCCAAGCCCAGAGTTTTTCCCTTAAGCCAGAGATGCAGCCGGCCCATGCTTAGAGCTTTCTTTTCCCCCGTTTTGAATTCATAACAACGTTTCTAATCTGCTTGTGCTTTCTTTTGCAGAAAGAAGAAATCGCCTAAACGAATAACATGAGGTCAGATAAAGGCCCACTTTTTCTTCAATGCAGGGAAGTAAAAGCAAACCATTGCTATCTTTCCCCAGGGATATCCTTTGTTCTACTCCTTGAAACGTCCAGCTTTTCTCATAGTTACGATGTCAGAAGGGCAATCGCCTGCCAATAAAAGGCCCCGTCGAAGTTTATCAAGCAGCAGAACTAAAAAAAATGAATCTAAGTCTATTGTTTTGTTTTTTAACAATGCACCACCTGCTCAACTTGCCTGTCCCATTTGTAGGAAAATGGTGCCAAGATATGACTTAAACCGGCACCTTGATGAAATGTGTGCTAACAACAATGACGTCGCTCCAGCTGATCCTGGGCATGGTGGCCTAACGAATTCCAGTGTGTCCACTGTAGATTTAATCAATGTTGCCGTAGAAGATGCAACACCACAGAAGTCGTCTCCATTAAAGACAAATTTAACCCTTGACCAAAGCGATTCAGCAAAACTGGGTGTGAAAAAGCAGACCAGTCCCTACTTTAAAAGTAGTGATGACAAGCTGTGCAAAAATCAAGATGACCTGAGCCCTCGTAATGTCAAAGTCATTCCTTTGGGAAGCCTGTCATCTAAATTATCCAGAAAATACATAAAGGCGAAACGATCGTTAGAGAAGAATGAGGAATTTGCCAGTCATACCCCACAGAGTTCGTCAGCCACAGTGGCTGGGATGGTTAACTGTTCAGAGACCAAGGACGTGGATCAGATTTTGAACAGTTCTCAAAAGGAAAACATATTTACCTGTGATTCTCTTACGGAGCAAAACACTGAAAATACTGTAGAAGATGCTAAATTAATGGAAGCAGCAAACCAACAGACTGCCCAGGAATGGGAAAGATCAACTCTCACTCCTGCTTTCTCAGAGAGTGCTCCTGTGGTGTCATCACCAAAATTAACTCTTGGGAGTACACGGCAGCCTGCTTCACAGGCCAGTCTTGCAAAGCAGGAGAGTGTCAGACAAGTAGAGCGTGAAGGGGCTGAAAAACATGAGGCAGATACTGGTGAAATCAACATGCCTGTGGCTTCAGACGCTAAAACGCAGTTGTCAAATTGGGAGGCACGATCTCATAGTTCTACTCATGATGCTTCCCAGTGGAGTAATATCCACAAACGTCCTCTGGAAGGTGATAGTGGCTTAGAGAACAAAGTCACTTGTGGCAATCCTTTGGAACAGGGGTCAAGCTGTGGTGTTCCTGGTAAAACCGTTCCAGCACCATCGAATCATCCTTACTACCTTCGCAGTTTCCTTGTGGTGCTAGAAGCCGTCTTTGACAATGAAGATGACAGGGGGCTCTTTGATGAACACGACAAGGGAATTGTAACTAAATTTTATCAATTATCAGGTATCATAAGCCTCTTTGCTTTCAAGTTTGTCTTTCCCATTTGCTGTCCTGATTCAGGCTGGGATGTGATAGGTAGTAATCTGGTGACCACAAGGAGTCAGTGTGGTTTTGAGAATCATCTGCGACGCCTGGTTGGAGTCAGCCTTCTACAAGTTCCTCTAGGGAAGGATGCGTGTGGGAAAGAGGCGGGGTTTCGTGCCCTGTGATGTCTGCTCCTGCGATATTTATATAAAACAACTCGGACAAGGTTGTTTTATTTGACATCTTTTTGTTATAACATTAATGAAATGCAATAGGGACTTTTTTTTTAAAGATTCTATTCACTTATTTTTAGAGAGAGGGGAAGGGAGAGAGAGAAACATTGATGTGCAACAGATATATTGACTGGTTGTCTCTTGCACGCCCCCAACTGGGGACCTGGCCCTCAACCCGGGCATGTGCCCTGACCAGAATCGAACCAGTGACCTTTGAGTTCGAAGGCTGGCACTCAATCCACTGAGCCACGCTAGCCAGGGCTGAACTTACTTCTTCTTTATATCAGTCAGTCTATGGTAAAATTGGTTTTTTTTATACCTATTGAAATGACTGATAGTTGTAAAACAATCTTTTCTTGTAAAAAAAAAAATACAGTGCTACTTAGAAAAGCACACTTAAATTTTGAGCTTGTCATTTGGGTTACAGGTAGGTCTGGTTTTTGCACAGCCTTTTCTCAAATCTGAAAGCCAAAGAAAATACAGGAAAAAACACACCAAGGTGTGTTGAGGCCTATTTTCCCCCCCAACAATATTTTAGGTTTCTGGACTCTGCCTTTTAAAGTCTGGGCGGGGAGGAAATGGAAACTTACAAGCTAAATTGGTCCATTGAGAAAATATTAGTCTATGCCTCAGTTCCTTGGCAGCCAGTGGTGGCTCTAAGCCGGAGGTGCAGGTTTGGAACAAAAACCACCCTTGTGACAGCTGCAGTGCTTATCCAAAGGGCCATGGTGGCGTGGTGGAACCCGGTCCCTCCCGAGGTAGGAAAAGCTTGCTTGGAGGCCACGCTGACCTTGGGTAACATGGAGCCAGGTCTGACTCCTCAGTAGATTTTAAAAATCTTGAACATTACTACTAATGTTTAAAGGAAAGGCTTTTGTTTTAAATTCACACAGTGGAATTATGATGGAAGTCCTTATATTAAAAAAATTTTTTAAATACATTTATTGATTTTAGAGAGAGGAAAGGAGAGAGAAACATTGATGTGAGAGAGAAACATCGATTGGTTGCCTCCCATATGCATCCCAACCGGGGATCGAACCTGCAACCTAGGTATGTGTCCTGACCAGGGATCGAACCTGCAACCTTTTGGTGCACGGGACGATGCTCCAACTAACTGAGCCACCCAGCCAGGGTGGGGTTTCTTATATTTTTAATATGTGAGCCTTAACTGGGCACAGCTGCTTCAGGATGCACAGAGCTTCCATCTCTACTTGTCCGGTTCTCAGCAGACCATGGACACGATGCCACATAAACTCTTCTATCCGGAGCTGCTACATCTTTGGTTGGGTGCTGGTTGCGTTCGTGTAAACATTTCCCTGAGTAGCTGGTGGCTCTGTGCTTCCCTGTAATTGAGAAATAGGACCAGTTTCCCCTGGACAAGTTCTGCATATCTTTGTGTGTTGCTCTGTGGTGACTCATTTACCACCCGTGTGTGAAAGCAGCTACTGTGAATTGTTTTTGCCTTAGAGGAAAAAATTGTCGACCATTTAAAAAATATAATTTTACCATGTTAGAGTGGGCAGAAATTTCATGATAATCTGGGTAACAGGGAAACTGAGACCAAACAGGTTAAGTAGATTGGCTGAGATCACAGAGAGAGAGAGGCTGTCCTACCAAAGCTAGCCTTTTAAAAAATTTATTGGTTTTAGAGAGAGAATGATTTGATTTGTTGTTCTCCTTATTGATGCATTCACTGGTTCATTCTTGTCTTATGTTCTGACTGGGGCTCGAACCCACACCTTGGCATATTGGGACGACACTCTAACCCATTGAGCTAGCTACCTGGCCAGGCAAAGCTAAACAGGTTTTGAAAATTCTTTGGGTTGAAATTATTTTCAACCACAAACGGAATGCTGTGTATTAGACTGAAAGCAGAGGACAAAATAACTGCAAATCCAGGTAGAGCTTTTCTGCACAAGTGCAAAGGGCGGCTAGAAAAATGGGGGATGCGGTGCTTCGAAGTTTTGAAATGGTCAATAATCATTACCAATGTTGGAACTTTCCAAATGGTTTCTAGACTAGACATTGACTATGTCATCTTGTTTAATCTTTCCAATCGCTTTGGGAAGGTGATGTTATTGCTTTCCACCACCCTCTCCGTATAGAAGAGAAAATGAGGCCTCAGTAAGGTAGAGTGATGTTCACAGAATTCACAAGGGGCAGAACTGGCTATGCTGGGAATTTCTGTCTTTCGATGACAAGCACACGGGACAGGGAGACATCCCCATGGGGACTTTTCTTTTAAATTTTATTTTTAGAGAGAGGGAGAGAGAGATACATCCATCTGTTGCCTCTCACATACTCCTATCTGGGGACCTGGCGCATAACCCAGGCATGTGCCCTGACTGGGAATCGAACCAGTGGCCCTTTGGTTCAAAGATTGGCACTCAATCCACTGAGCCACACCAGCTAGGGTAAGACTTTCTATTTCAAATAAATTACATCTTCCACAGGAAGAAAAGATTTTCTTGGAACCTAAGTTGAGAGAGCATGTATGTCTTTCTAATAAAGTCTATTTTACCTTGTTTTTAAAAAGTAAAGGATGTTTGTATGTTGTTTTGGAAACGAAAGATAACATTTCCCCCCATTTTTCCTAACCTGATTGCAGATGGTGGTCAGAAGTTATACGTAAGACTTTTCCAACGTAAATTCAGCTGGATTAAGATGAATAAATTGGAGTACGAAGAGATCGCCCCTGACTTAGCCCCTGTGGTTGGAGAATTGCAGCGAGCCGGCTTTCTGCAGACAGGTACGATTCATCGAAGGAAACGTACAACGAAAACAGGACGCGAGGAATGAACTTCCTGCCGAATGACGGTGATATCAGTGTGGTGCTATCTCCTGGTCGGTGCCTGATAAATAGTAATCGCGTGTGTGCGTGCGTGCGTGTGCGTGCGCGTGCGTGTGTGTGTGTGTGTGTGTGTAAATTGAGTTTTTAATCATAGGACATGAATTATTCATGTGATGTTAGAGCCGTTGTTCGCCTTCAGGATTAGGACAACTAGGATAATGAGAGAGTGCCTGCTTTTGCCTTGTTGTCTGTCACGGCGTTGGGACCAGCAAACCACGTCGGGATAGGTGTGTGGGTTTGTGTTGCAGGAGGTGCCCCTCAGCCCTCCTCTGCTGCCTCCAGCCAGATGGAACCTCCTCCTCTCCTCACTCAAGCTCCTCATTTTATGACAGAATAAAGCTGGCCTGTCTGATGCTAATACTGCCTCTAAAAGCTTCATCTACCGCCCCCTGCGTGGTGCACAACTTAAGAGTTTCCAAGGTGGTTGCCTCAGGAATCGTATAGCTCATTGCAGCCTGTGTGAACAGCAGGTAACCTTGGTTGTCTTAGCAGCAGCCTCAAGTGCCCGCCTCCCTGACCGAGCAGAATAATATTGTCCTGGAGACAAGGGGACAAGGAGAATGACAGATGGGAGTCTCAGGTTCAAGTTGCTGATGGTTCAGACTAACATATGCAAACTAAGCCAAAGCCAGGTTTCTTTGCGGCTAGAGAATGCTCGAGTTCTTGAAAATGACTTTTTTCTAAACCCATTTCAGAATCTGAGCTGCAAGAGCTCTCTGAAGTGCTGGAACTACTTTCTGCTCCTGAACTGAAAACGCTGGCAAAGACGTTCCACTTGGTGAACCCCAATGGGCAGAAGCAGCAGCTGGTGAATGCCCTGCTCAAACTGGCCAGACAGCCTTCTGTCTGCACTTGGGGCAAGAAGCCGCCTGGAATCGGAGCAGTGATTTTAAAGAGGTTTTGTTGGCTCTCGTTACAGGGAAAGCATTTAAAATATTGATAGTGCACACTAACTTAATAGTGGATGGGACCTGGTTTTGAACCGTAATTGCTGATTTCATTTGCAAATAGATCCAGAAGGCAGAAGGGTTTTCATTCTAATAGCCTGGGTTCGTTCTTATTTTATTATTCATAATTCTTGTGACACCATACTGATTTCTAGGCCTGAGGAAAATGGGGAGGCAGGAGAATGCAGGCAATAGGCCCCTGGTCAATTCTAGTATTTTTTTATTCAAGAAATATGCCATTTGAACCACTATTCTTGCAAGATGGAAGGGAAGCTATCCAGTCAAATTTTTATTTTTGTAAACTTTTCATTGACGTGTAGCCTCTCCACCTTAGTACGCAGCTTCTCCTGAAAATAATTTGTAAAATCTGGTACCCAAAGGCTTAGAAACCGGAGAGTTACTTCTCGACTGTCTGTTCCTCAGAGCCCGGGACTTGGCAGGACCGTCACTGAGGCTGTGCAAAGGCCCCCGAGCTGTCTTCTCCCGGGTCCTGCTGCTCTTTTCCTTGGCGGACTCCCTGGAGGAGGAGGACGCTTCCTGCGGGGGGCAGGGCCAGCTCTGCACCGTGCTGCTGGTCAACCTTGGCCGCGTGGCGTTTCCTCAGTACACCGTCCATCGGGAGACCCGGATCTTCCAGGACAGAGACGACCTCATCAGGTCAGATGGCATCCGCTTGCGGTCAGAGCTGGGTATTAATCTTATGTAAAAAAAATTTTTTCAGCCACAGTAGAAACTTAAGTTCATAGTCAAAAAACAGTCTTTTTTTGGTTATCTTTCTGCCTCACGTGTATACATTTCGGAGACTCTCAGGAGCATGAAGACATGTGCTAAGGTTACAGTTGCCAAAACCAGTGTGTTTTGGGTTAGAGCTACAAATGTTTCTCCTGGCTTATGTTCCCAAAGAGCTTTGGCAGAGAGTATTTTTTAACATGTAGACATTTGAACAAACCTGCCTTGGGAATATGTTGTCAGCACGAACAAGACTGAAGATGAATGTTTTCCTAGTAATAATGCTTCAGATAAAGCCAATAGCAACTTATGTACTTATACCAGACCTGTGGGTGTGTTAGGTTAGAAATGTTCACCAGTGTGTTTTGGTGCATGGATTTAGTGAATGTTTGGTTCTGGTAAAAGCAGGTTTTGATAATAATGGTATAGGTATTACAGGAAAAAAATACTTGTATTTCCTAAGAATACACCTTTTAGAAGAAAAATAAATTTGGAATGCCTAAAATGTCACTTCTGAGTCTTGATTTAAGGTTTATGACTCAAATGAACTGCCCTTGAACCTGATATTTGATTTTAGGGAAGTCACTTAAATGTTGTTTAGTACATGCATTAAAAATAAGTTATTGAAGTGACTGAATCAAAGCAATGTCAGGATAAGCTAATTTTAACCCATTTTACCTTAGCTATGAGGAAGCTCAATATCTTCTTTGTGTTCAGCTGGAATAATGTTTTTTGTCAAATCTTTTCATGAGAATGTTTCCTTTTACCCTGTTTTTAGTTGTCTCATGTATTTTTGCCTTTTCATTTTTAGTGACTTTATAGTTTTCTCTTTTGTGAGACTCTGTACTCAGAAGCCAAATTCTGGTCTCTATACTAATGAACCATGAAACCACTCTGCCTCAGTTTCCTCACCTGTAAAATGGGGAGAATAATGGTGTATTCCTACATATGTGTGTTGATACTTGGAAAGAGCTTCGGGCCTGGCCTCTGGGGATGGCTTCTCATGTCTTACTTAGTAGGACAATTGCCATTATTACTGTTATAGCTAAAGATTACCTTTTAATTCTATGATTGACAGGACCGTGGGGTCAACAGGTTCAAAAGTTGGGGGTGGGGCTCGAGAGAAAAAATAAACAATATTTTTAGAAAGTAGGTACCCTATTTTGCCATATATAATGCACAGTTTTTACCCAAATATTTTGAGGGAAAAAATAAGGATGCTCATTATACATGGGACTATTATACATTAATAATAATACATTATTACATTACAACAAATACATTACATGATACATTACATTATTATATATTACATGATTACATTAATACAGTATTACAAATACATTAATATTAATAATCCCATGTATAATGCGCACACAAACGTGGGTGTGCCTTATACACGGCAAAATATGGTATGCCGGAAATGACACGAATAATTAAAACTCAACGGGTCTGAATATATACATGAAGTTAGACCTAACTGACCCGAGGAAGGTCATCTCCCCAGGTACGCCGCCGCCGCCCACACGCTGAATGACATTTCCACCGCCATGGCCAACGGGAACTGGAAGGAAGCAAACGAGCTCTCTCAGTGCGCCAAGAGGGACTGGAACAAACTGAAAAACCACCCTTCCCTGAAGTAAGACTGGTTTTTGGGGTTTTTTTTTTTAGGTAAGTCTCTCCATGGAGAACGTTCTCCTTCGGTCCCGTGGTCAGACCTGTGTGAGCTGACTCTCCCCGTTGCTCCGCGCAGGGTCAGCGTGGGCAAGGGGAGGAAATGTCTGTACATGTGAGGGGGCGTTGCTGTCGATCAGATCCCTGTGCAGCAGACTCGCAGGGGAGCCGACAGCGGGCGGTCCGTCAGGGGCCGCCTGGGGTGCCGGCTTCCCTGAGTGCTGAGCGGGATTGAACGTCGGGGGAGCCCAGCGGGGAGAGTGAGAGGCTCTTTCAATGCTATTATTCTGAAAAGGAAAACTGACTTGAACGTCACTTCCAAAGCTCAAGGACACAGTGCGTGATCCGTCGTTTTTCTGGTTTGATGTTAAACATTTTCCGTGTTTCAGGAATTTTTCCTTCATTGTTACACAGTGATGAGCAAAATGAGTCCGTGTTGTGAAATCCATCCGTCTTCCAGAAAAACAGAGGACGGACGTAAAGTTCATACAGAAGTAATGACTTAAGAACCATAGCCAAGTGAATAGATGACTTGCTTCGTTTAAAAACAAGGCCTCAGAGCCGGGAAGTCAGGCTGCCGTAGGACAGAGGCTGGGAGGCTGCCCCTGGAGAGGGTCGGCCGGTGTGTACTGTGGGCTTCGCTGCGGGCACCGAGCTCTGCCGTTGGGAGAGAGCAGCCACGGGTGCACGCGGATGAGCGAGCGGGACATGCTCCGGCTCAGCCTTACTGTGGGCACGGAAATACACGTTTCCTCTAACTTTCACATGCTTATTAGACTTGTCACCCTCCATTTGACTTATTTTAACCATTTAAAGATGTGAAAACCAGGATTAGTTTGCAGAATGTACAAATTCCAGGGTCAGCCTGGGCTTGATCTGGGGGCTGTGGTTTGCTGACCTCCAGCTTCAAATAGGACCATTTGTCCCCACCTTGCTGCGCTAAGTGATCCAGAAGGTGGTGGCTGCCTGTGGGCATGTAGATCGGTGGTGTAGAAAATTGTGCACAATAGTATCACCATGCGGCTATAAAAAAGAAGGAAGTCTTACCTTTTGCAACAGCCTGGATGGACCGGGAGAACATTATGCTGAGTGAAATAGCCAGTCAGAGAAAGACAAATACCGTATGATCTCACTTATATGTGGAATCTAATGGACCAAATAAACTGACCAACAAAATAGAACCAGAGGCACGGACACATGGAATAGACTGACGGCTGTCAGAGGGGAGGGGTCGGGGACTGGAGGAAAGAAGATGAAGGATTAGAGGACATCTATGCGTGACCCGTGGACACAGACAACCGTGTGGTGACGGTCAGGCGGAAGGGGCGGCAGGGGCTGGGTCGGGTGGGCCAAGGCAGGGAGAATGGGGACATCTGTAATGGTGTCAATAATAACAATAATTTTTAAATCATACTAGATTTTTTTAAAAAGGCACTCAGTCTGCTCTGTGACTGCTTGGGGTTGTCTCACAATAAAGAAACCACATTACCAAACCGCGGGCGTGTACACGTTCATTTCAGGCACCACGAGAACTTACCGCTCTTTCTGCGCTGCTTCACTGTTGGATGGGTTTACACAAGAATTCTGTCTCGGGCTGTCGAGATCTTGCAGAGACTTCACATGTACGAGGTGAGAACACAGACTCCCACCTGGCTTTTAGGGGCAGTTCAGCGGTGAGCTGGGGAGGGGGGCCTACCTGGCTGTCGACATTTTCCACGGACGCTAAATATGTCCTGGGTTGGCAGGAACGTGGCTGGACAACCCGCTGTTCTGTGAGTTGGCGTCGGGGTCACGGGAGGGCCCCGCAGGGCCTACCCGCCAGTCTGTGCCGCTGAGCCCCTCCTGGGCGCCAGGGGGCACTGGGGAGGTCTCCCAGAATCTCTCTGTTTCCCTGACAGATGTCATGGACTGGCTGGAAATAATTTATAATCACAAATCCGAAATTTGGTCGTATCCTTTCTTTTTTTCTTTTTTCTTTTTTTTCAAAGATTTTAGAAGGGAAGGGAGGGAGAAAGAGAGGGAGAGAAGCATCAATGTGTGGTTGCCTCTCACGTGCCCCCTATCAGGGACCTGGCTTGCAACCCAGGCTTGTGCCCCAGGCATGTGCCCTGACTGGGAATTGAACCGATGACCCTTTGGTTTGCAGTCCGGAACTCAATCCACTGAGCCACACCAGCCAGGGCTGGTCGTATCCTTTACCAAACATTGTGAGATTGCGCGAGTTAACCTCTGTTACATTTGATGTTCTACTCTGAAAAATGCTTAGTTTACAGAGGATATGCCAAAGCCAGATTCTTGACCTGGGTCTCTGTATCTGGAGGGTCCACAGGAGGGGTTCCGGGGAATCTGTGGACCCCACAATTGTGTGGACACAGGCTTTGTGCAGTCAGGAGATGTTTCAAAGAGATCCACGAACGACAGGAGATTAAGAATGAGTGAACAGTTTGTGCGAATTTAGACCACAAAGCATCCCTGTGAGGGTACCCTGCCTGCCCCAAATTCCTCCCAGCGTTGGCCCTGGGACCTGCAGGGATCCTGGAAGCGGGTGGGGCTCAGCTCCTTGGAACTTGATCCCTTGTGGTGGCCCCGTGCCCGTGACTGACCTGCAAGAATATTGGGCAGTGTTCACAGTTGGCAGGGGACCCGTAGGGACACCTCAGGTTGCTCAGGCCCCTCTAGAGGCCCTCCTTGGCCTGACTGTAGAATGGAAAGCTGTGCTTTGTAAATAGACGTTGCCTATTTGCTTTTCTGGTGTGTGTGAGTCTAACAAGCTTCCTTTGTTGCTGCGACAGGAAGCAGTCAAGGAACTTGAGGACCTTCTGTCCCAGAAAATCTACTGTCCCGACAGCAGAGGCCGCTGGTGGGATCGGCTGGCTCTCAACCTGCACCAGCACTTGAAACGCCTCCAACCGGTGGGTACTCAGCAACTAACATGCGCTTTTTATGGAGGCGTGCTTTTACACGTTCCATAAATTTGAAAAGTAAAGCAAACTACTGTTACCTTAAACATCTGAATGTAATGAGGACATTCATTGTTTAACCTCCTTTTGTCCATGTTCTCCCAACCCTACGAGGCATAACAAGGTTGCGCCCTGGCCGGGAGGCTCAGTTGGCTGAATTGTTGTCCAAAAGGTTGGGGGTTCGATTCCCAGTCCGGGCACAAGCCTGGGTTGCGGGTCCAATCCCATCGGGGCACGTACAGGAGGCAAGCAATTGATGTCTCTCTCTCCCTCTCTCTTTCTCTCCATAAAACCAGTAACATTAAAAGAAAAGAAATAACAGGGTTGCTAACACAAGCATGACCATGAAGGCAGGAGACTTTTGTCCTGTCCTCACTGGTTCGGGAGCAGGGTTGGCAGTGGGACCTGCGTGGGGATTCAGGAATTAATGAGAGTTAGGAGCCAGGGGGGTTGACAGCTGTGCCCTCAGTAGGTGCTTTCTGTAAAAAAAAAAAAATGGTGATTTTGTTCATTTCTTGCATGGGACCTCCAGGTACAAGGCTGCTGGAAGGTGTCCTATTGCAGGTACTTCATGAGCAACCCTGCCCCCTCTGCAAGGTATTGCGCCTGGCGGTGGCACAGGCCACGTTCTCCGTTAGGGACCCTCTGTGGCCAGCAGCACGGGCCTCCGCAGGCGGCGGCGGCGGCTGAGCCAGGCAGCAACAGTGGCTCTTTGTGTGGCCGCCGAGTCCTCCCACCCGGCCCCGTGCTGGCCCTGCCTTTGCCACGCACGGAGGACACTGTGTTTTCTGGGAGCTTTTGTTTTCCCCAGGAGCTCATGCAATGAATCAGGGTGACGTGGGGGTGGAAAAATTGACCCTGGGTGTGGAAACGCGGCAGGCTGTTTTTACCGCCTTCAAATGAAGAGGTGCCTTGTTAGCTCGAGGACATCGGGCCAGGGAAGCTGATTGCTGTCCTGCAGGAGGGTGGGGTTGGGGCTTCCTTCCCTCTTAGAGGTCATTTAGCTGAAATAGCAACAGAGGGCACCTGCCAGGCCGCGAGCAAATGTGCGGAGAGGCTGTGGGGGGGGGGGGTGCTGCTTCCTTTCGTTGAAATTAAATTCTAAAGAGTGGACAGCTTCCCCTCGCCTCCCCCTCCACGCCCCCACTTTGCTAACGGGAGTGTGTACTTATAATCCCAGAGGGAGACAAGCCACAGAGCTTATTTGGGAGACGGACGGAAAATCTCAGTTCCTTTTAGCCGTTTTCCAAAGCTCTTCCTGGCCACCCTCACAGTCTGCATTATTTCCTTGCCATTCCTGGCGTTCTTGACACCGGTGATGGAACCAGGGCCCACCGGCCAGGCAGGCCGAGGTGGGTGGCCTGGCTGTCCCCTCCCTGCGGCCAGGCCCCCAGTGGCCCTGGCTCCTGCTGGTGCCTCATTCTCTCTCCTTGATTCCTTTGGGCCACTCCGTTCCTGATGGCCTGATCCTTCATGGATTTTTCAGGTTTGGGGGGTTTTTTGTTTGTTTTTTGCTTTATATTCTTTTATAGTAAAATATCCATAATGTAAATAAAGCCTGTCATTTTAAGTCTTCAGGCATACAGTTCAGTGCCATTAATTATACTCACAATGTTGTGACAGCATCCTCTCTGTTTTTCGTTTTCATCCCTCCAAACAGAGACCCTGCACCCATTAGCCCTGGCTGCTGTGGCTCAGAGGATTGAGTGCCAGACTGTGAACCAAAGGGTCGTGGTTCGATTCCCAGTCAGGGCACGTGCCTGGGTTGCAGCCAGGTCCCCAGTAGGGGGCGTGCAAGAGGCAACCACACATTGATGTTTCTCTCCCTCTCTTTCTCCCTCCCTCCCCCTCTCTAAAAATAGATAAGTAAAATTAAGAAAAAATAGATTGCCTTTAAAAAAAAAAAAAAGAAAAGAAACCCTGTGCCCAGTAAACCATCACTCCCCACTCCCCTCCACCAGCCCCCATAGCCTCTAATCTAATTTCTGTTCCTATCAATTGGCCTGTTTTAGGTATTTCATATAAAGGGAATCATACAGTATTTGTCCTTTCGTCACTGCCCTATTTCACTGGGCAGTGTCTTTAAGGTTCATCCATGTTTTCGCACGGGTCAGAATTTCCTTCCTCTTCAAGGCTGAATAATATTCCACTGTACACAGAGATCACATTTTTCCACCTGTCGATGGGCACTTGGGTTGTTTCCGCCTTGTGGCAATTGTGAATAATGCTGCTATGAACGTGGGGGAGCAAGTATCTGTTTGGAACTCTGCTTTTAGTACTTTTGGATACACACCCAGAATGGAATTTCTGGGTCACATGATGGTTCCGCGTTTAGCTTTTCGAGGAGTTCCCAAACTTTTTTTCACAGCATTTGCATTATTTTTACATTTCTGCCAGCCGCGTGTGACGGTTCCAATTCCGCTCCCATTTTTCCCAACACTGACTACTTTCCATTGTCTGATGGCAGTCATGCTAGCGGGTCGTTTTGTTTATTGGTCCAAGTCTGAATAACCTTAGGAAATGCACTTAGCTCTTCCGAACCTAAGCTTCTTTTCCCCGTAAGTGAGAACCTGGACGGTTCTGTGCGAGAGACTCGCCTGGGAGCCCCGAAGTGGTCACGTGCCTGGGTCCTGCCCTGGAGGTGCTCCCTCTGTGGCTCAGGGGTGGGGACACCTGTCTCTTTCAGAGCTCCCAGGTGATTCTCCACGAACCACTGAGCCAGGTCCGTCTCCCGTCTCCTCTGGCCATGATCCAGGGCGTCCTGAACTTGCTTGGTCTCCCTGAGGGTGTGGCAGTTGAGACGTAACCGAACCGGGAGGTGGGGTCAGGAGCCGGGCCTCTGGTGCTCCAGACGTTTGTAGGCAGGGAGGAGCGGATACCCTTCCTCAGAGTAACCCTTCAGTGTATCACAGTGACACCTAAGGAATATTCTTTGTCTCTACAAGTGCTGCTTTGCCCATTGCTAATTAGGGAAACTCAGTAACTAATAAACAGCAGGGTTTCCTGTCACGTGAAGTCCTGGATGCAGCCACAGGGACTTTCGGGGTCTTTCCAGACCCTGATGTGGGACTACGTTCTTTGCTAGGCTATCAAGTGCATCGCCGAAGGGCTGGCAGATCCCGAAGTGAGGACGGGGCACCGCCTGTCATTGTATCAGAGAGCCGTGCGCCTGAGAGAGTCCCCGAGCTGTCGGAAGTACAGGCACCTCTTCCGTCAGCTGCCAGAAATCACCGTGCGCGATGTGAAACATGTGAGTGCCCGCGGGTTTTTCCTGAGTGAAGGCAGCCCAAGAATGGTTTGCAGTGTGCACTTGCTTTGAACAGTGGCTTGGCCATTGTTCCGTTTTCCCCTCAGTCCTCCTACCTTGCACCAGGATGGCTGGAGTGACTTTCTGGAAAACTCCCAGGTCAGAAGCTCACAGCCTTTGCCACTTTCGCCTTCTCGGTCAGGGCTCCTGGAGACTCGCGCTGGGGTCCATGTGTTCCCCGGGGCCGGGGCAGTGACCTGACCACCTCCTCGCAGGTGCCACAGTGTGGGTCACACAGCCTTGAGTTCTGCTAGGAAAGGGTGGCTTTGGGGGTGTGTAGGACAGTGTGTCCTCAGGACACCACAGTCAGGTTCACGAACGCTCTCCTGTCGCCACCTCAGGTGACCATTACGGGCCGGCTGTGCCCACAGCACGGGATGGGCAAGTCCGTGTTCGTAATGGAAGCTGGGGGGGCCGCCACGCCCGCCACCGTCCTGTGCTCCGTGGAGGAGCTGGCGCTGGCCTATTACAGACGCAGCGGCTTCGACCAAGGTAATGAATGCGCAGCATGTCTCCTGGCCACCCGGTCACCATGGCGTTTGTCAGCCATCGTCCATCCATTATGTCCCCAGTGGAAGACACGCTGACTGGGGAGGGTGGGAAAGAGAAAGAGATGGACTATGGGTGTCAAAGGCCGTCTTCCCCCGTTCGGCCCACGCCCACCACCGCAAACCTGTGAGGAGCAGCACTGGGTGGGATGTTAGAAGCCGGTGACATGGATTTTGCTCCCAGGCTGTTTTTGTAGATGAGCCACGTAATAAAAAATGAGCTAGGAATGGCATGAACATGGCCTTCAAATCCTAAATCCTTCTGTGGTTTCCTTTGCATCAAGTAGGTGGGTGATGGTGGCGGTTTTTGAACAAAAGGAAAAGCCTGAGTTTTCTTGTGTGTGACCTGGCTCTAGGCATTCATGGGGAGGGGTCCACCTTCAGCACCCTGTACGGCCTCCTGCTGTGGGACGTCATCTTCATGGACGGGATACCGGACGTCTTCAGAAACGCTTACCAGGTAAGCAGCCGGGCTCCAAGGTCCGGGCGTGTGCCCACCCAGGACCCATGCCCACTTGGGCCATGCGTCTGCAGCCCCCCGAAACCTGCTTGGACAGTGTTCCGTCAGGGTGCTAGTTCCACAATCAGGTGTGAAACTCGAAGGTGAATCTACCTTCAACTTTACACTTGAAATGTTACTGCATCTGCAGCTTCAACCTTTTCTGAGCGCCTGCCAGGATCCAGGTGTGTGCCAGGTGCTGTCACAGGTGCCATCTGTCATGTGTGCCTGCTGAGAGTTCCACCAATTCCCCTAAAAACTTCTCCCATGTTATTACTCTAAAAACCAGTGTAATAAATTGCTTTCACGTTAAGTATTTTTTACATAACTCCTGAGAAAAAGAATGTGCCAGTTGAACCAGGCGGGCCAGTTGTGTCGTGTGGTCTCTGATGAACCGGTTCTCACCAGGCATTCCCCCTGGACTTGTGCACGGACAGCTTCTTCGCCAGCCGGGGACCAGCCATCGAGGCCAGGCTGCAGCTGATCCACGGCGCCCCCACCGAGCAACTGCGAGCCTGGGTGGCGGACACGTGGCAGGCCCAGGAAGGCAGAGCGGCTTCCGTGGTCAGCTGGGATCGCTTCGCTTCTCTTCAGCAAGCTCAGGTGCAAATTTTCATACCAGACACACACAGTGTGTATATACACATATGCATGAATCTGTGTGCGTGGGCATGTGTATATATGATAGCACTCCAGCCCAGATGCTACAGTTACTGAGGGGAACACGCCAAGGCATCCAAGCCCATTATGCCTCCTCCCCCTTGGCTGACAGCTTCCTGTTGTCTGATCTGTAACTGACAGAGCTGCTGGGGGAGTTTTAGCTAGAGGCTCGGGAGCCCAGCGCAAGCAGCAAGATCATGCCCGGCGTCCTTGGAGCCACATCCGTTGGATTCCCGAGCCCTTCCTGTCTCATGATCCCCGGGAGTATTTCAGGGCCTCGGTCACCAGGGAGTGATGGTCACCCATGTATTCTGTGTTCAGGACCTTGTTTCCTGCTTGGGGGGCCCTATCCTGAGCGGCGTGTGCCGGCGCCTGGCTGCGGACTTCCGGCACTGCCGGGGAGGCCTGCCCGACCTGGTGGTGTGGAACTCCCAAAATCATCACTTCAAGGTCAGTTGAGCCAGAATGGAGGGTCCTATTTCTAATTCGATTGGCAACTTCATCCAAGGCCACCGTCTAGCCATCTCTTGCATGGTTGTCAGCGAGACTGAACCCTAGATAACTACTGGAGGGCCAGGGTTCCACGGCGGCTGACAAGGCCTCCCTGGTTCCCTGTGTATGGACCTGCCCCTCTCCCCATGGTAGCTCGTGTGAGCAAGATGAAGTCCATCCTTTCTAACCTGATCTTGGAAGTCACGTGCCATCATGCTTGCTGTATCCTGCTTTTAGAAGCAGGTCACCAGTGCAGCCCACGCTCAGGGGAAGGCATGGTGTAGGGCGTGCACACCAGGGGGCCAGGCGGACGGGGAGCCATTTGTGAAGCTCCCGGAAGGGAGCGCCTCCCATGTTGTAGGTCAGGCGCCTCCCTTGGCTCATGCTCCTGCCCACCACAGGTTAGCTGTTTTCTCATTAGTGAGCTTTGAGATTGAAAAACAAAAATCTGGTATCACACATCCTTTATCAGATATATTTCATCCCAGTCTGGCTTGTTTTTTCATTCTCTGATAGCGCCTTTTTAAGAGCCCAAGTTTTCCATGTCAACAGCAGTGTAGTACAGTAGAATGAACCATTTAAATAATTAGGGTGGAAACTAGCTTATTTGAATGGCTGTTCAGTTTCTGTAAGGTACCAATAACTTGAAAACTGCTCTTCCAGCTGGTGGAAGTTAAAGGCCCCAATGACCGCCTTTCGCATAAGCAAATGATCTGGCTGGATGAGCTGCAGAAGCTGGGGGCTGACGTCGAAGTCTGCCACGTGGTCGCAGTTGGAGCCAAGAGCAAAGGCCTTACCTAGTAACATCTATGGATCTAAGATTCTCAAAAGCCTAAGTGTCATAATGACGTTTCACTTCATTTTGACTGTTACTGTCAGAAATAAATGCGGTGGTAAAGTTGGTACTAGTTTGAATACACGCCTTGATTCCACCCAGCAGGTGGTGAACTTTTGAGAAAGGTGAACACTTTAGTGGCCATCTTAAGACTGGAGGCGTCTGTTACTAGAATTACCGAAACAGCTGAAATCCCCCCCACGAACAAGATGAGTCCCAGCTTTTATAGTGTGCATGGCATTTCTTTCTCAGGAGTATATTGGAAACAGATTCTTGTAAGTTTTCCTATTCTACTTTACGGTCAGCTGTTAAACAGTCTCATTTCATCATTATCCAAGAAGGGCATGAGCAGTTGAAATTCCAATTTCTTTAGGAATTTAATAACAAATTCGCATAAAGTTGCTTATTGCATCAGTCACATGACTGCTCTTATTAATCGGGCCTGTGCCACCAAAAGAGGGAATAGTCTTTATCGAAGGCAGCTGTCCCTTTTCATCCTTCTTGGGAACATCCCTAGTGACCAGGTTGGGGGCGATTTTCTGTGTCGACAGAACCACTGTCACAGGGCTGCTCGTCCCCCGTGGGAAGCCTCGCGCCGGGGGAGGTGTGAGGAAGGCGATTCAGCACAACGGTCGGCCCAGATGTCAGGGCCTGGGGTCCCCGGCTCCAACGGACTAGTTACTGGGACTTGAGGGAAATGACACTCCCAGCTTTTTCGGTGATTAGATGGAATGACCAATTTGGCCATGGTCCATGAACACACGTGGGGCCTGAACTGCAGCTGGTTCTGAAGTGATGCTAAAACGCCAGGGATCGCTCCTCAGGCTTAGGAGCCGGAGTGCTGAAGGGGCCCCCACACACGGGCAGCTAGAAGGAAGTGCCCCCACATCTCGAGTCTCCGTTCTCGTAGATGACGTCACACTGATAACAACTCCAACCAACAACTCGGAAGTTTTATTTAGCAGGCAGAATTTCCTTCACATTCAGCACTGTTGAACAACAAGATCTCTCTTCCTGCTCCTCCCAACTTTAACTCAAGTCATGATCAGTTTTAGGCACAAAGGCATTAGTTTCCTCTCAAGGTCAAGTTTAACTACTTGAGGTTACTGCTACAGCAAGCCGACTTGGCTGAAGGGGGCGTTGCATAGTTTTCGCCCTCTGTTAGCACAAATTAATATACTTCTCTTAAATAAAGTTAGACATTTTTGGTTTTAAAACTGGTTTCCATCATAAAATAACAGTGAGACATTGTACATCTTTTAGGTTCAGTACTAGAACGCCGAAGCCGTCTGGCGCCCGCGGGGCCGTGGGACACAGGGAGGCTCCCGGGCAGCGCAGCAGCCCCACGGGGACTTCTGCCGCCGCCACGTCCTGCAAGCTCCCCAAGAATCCAGGCAGTGCTGGGCCGGCCAGGACCGGGCTGGGGCAGCTGCTCTTCGTATCACGCCCGGACGCTGTGGCACAATAGTCATGGCAGAACTGCCGCCCGGCAGCAGAACACGAAAAACCGTGTTTTACTACGTTTGATTACCATACAAAAATAGGCACATTTTCTATCTGAAAACAGTATTAATAGTACCTAATTGTTTTTAAACTTGTAAATCAGAAAATTACTAAAGGAGCTGCAATAAATGTGTGAAAGGAAGAAAATTAGAGAAATAAATGCTCAACCCTCTCTAAAAGTAACAAATTTAGGACAATTTGTAATAATAAAAAAAGCAGCTTATGAAAAAGGGAGGAGAATTAATTAGTACACTTGCAGTGCCAGGATATTCACTGTGGTGGCTTAGGGGAACTGGGGCAGGTCTCCAAGAAGGCCTATAAAATGTTTAATGGCAATGATGATACTCTCAATAACTGAAAACAGCCCTTATTTTCTAGGCAACAAGTTGAAAGAACCCTGGGTTTATCCTGAAGATGAATTTTCTAAGACACTGTAGAAGAGCTTCTGTCCCTGTAAGTCCAGGGACATTACCAAACCATTTTTTAAAAGGCAAATAATTCAAAAAGAAACAACGATTCATTCCGTACACAGGGGAAACACTTACTTCAGAAAAGGAAGTACACTAACTGGACACTACTGCAGATTTCTTTTTAGAGTTCAGGATGGCAGCTTGAGAAACCAGGTAACAGCAACGTGGACTCCTTCGCCCCGTGAACAGGGCGAGGGCTGCTAGGGGCGCGCTGGCCCCACGGCTTTGGCTCTTGCACAGCGGGAAGACAAGGGCGTTTCCGACCCAGATGCCGCCTCTCACTGTTGCCGTATTCGTGTGGGGGCGGAGCGGGGGTGGCAGAGTTCGCTTGTGTGCTCTGCCGAAATGGCAGGGCTTTGAGAGGGCGTTTTTGTCTCTCCTCCTGAGCACTGAGGACGCTCTCTGGGAGGAAGGACTTCAGGGCAGGTGACCCAACTCGTGGCCTCGCTGGCTGCTTCCCAGGGAAAGTGCCAACGACAGTTGGTCACAACACTGGAGATACTGAGGGGGAAGTCCTCTTTCTAACCCACAGGCCTGCTGTGTCCTCAGGGACTTCTGGGGGGATGCAAAAGGTGGCTTTGGGGACCCCTGGCTATTGGTATGAACTCAGTGTGAAAGTCTGTTTCCAATGTGCAGGGGGATTTTAACTCCCTAATTTTAAAAACAAATTGTATCTAACTGTGTTATTCTTACCTTAATGTTAAAGGCACTTCTAAGTTTAATTATATTATCTACAGAGAATGCTTTTAAAGTTAACAGTGCATGTCATTTTAAAGTTAGTCCTAAGAAGTTAAGAGAAAACTCAGGATTTTAAGACACAGTGATTTACGGTCCCAAAGGGATCTAAAATAAATTACGGCGCTGGAATATTGAACCCTCAGGCGAGTTCAATCAGACAACAGAAAGTGACCAGAAAAACACGAATACCTGCTAAGGCCTGTCGGGGGATTATCGGTGCTTCTTGGAAAAATGCTCAGCCCTGATTTCTGAGCTTTCCTGACATCAGCTTCTTTGGGTTGCTAGTCTGAGGATCGGGTAACCTTTAGAAGGCAGTAGGAGCAACGGATGCAGACAGATCCTGGTTAATTTGATCACAGTAATAAGATGTGTGCATGTCTGCCTGCACATCACCTCAAAATGAGCAAGACCTAAAATGACAGGAAAAGGACATCAAAACCTAAATTCATGCCTATCTTCTAAAAAAAAGTGAAGCATAATTCAGTATGTTTTTAAAACATTAGTGCAAATTCCAACCATTATTCTTACGTATAAAATTATTAGAGCTTCAAATGCCTAGCTTAGCAATTCTAATCCAGAGGAAAAAAAGTCTCCAGCTTCCCTCAAAATGTTCAGAAAATACTCTATTTCAGTCTTCATTTGCTAGTGTCTCAGTAGATAACCATATTTTGGCCCCACTCAAAAATTTGCTTAACGGTGTTCCTGAAATGCTTCGTCTGCACAGATTGCCAACAGGGGAGAAGGGAAACGAGGAGGAGAGGAACTCCGGGGTCCCCGAGGGGTCGTGGGGGCCGCTGGCCCGGAAGTACATCCTGCTCTGGTCCAGCTCCGCATAGCAGGCCTCCAGAGGGCCAGCCCGATGCTGCCGAAGCGTCCTGCTGAGCACGTCCACCTCGTCGGCCAGCAGCGAGAGCCTGTGGAAGGCAGTGATGAAGCCCCCGTGGCTGATCTGGGCCTCGGGGACCCAGCGGAAGTAGCACAGTTTCCACAGCTTTATGTGCATCCCAGATACACGTGGCAGAAGAACGCCGTGCAGGTCGGCCGGTTTGGAAAACCACTCTCGGAAGAACTGCTCCATGCCGCCGTCCTGGGCGTCCGCTTGTGGCAGGGGGTCTGGTTTTACTTTTAGTATCAATGAGTTCCTCCGTGGAAGTGGTTCTTGGTCGCTGATGATCCCGTTCTTGAAGGAAGCTGGCACTCCTCTCAGTGTGGAGCTGTAGTTTCTCTGCAAAGGAGAGAGAGGTTAGCATTACTGTTCCGGGCGGCCCTTTTTAAAAAGACAGCAAAGGTGCAATGGCGAATACGGACTTGGTGTTAGGAGAAACTGGGGGATTTGGGCCTCAAAGAACAGTGTTCTCCCTTTTAATGTTTACTCCAGCCCTCCTCCCCTGAGGTTTAGCTTTTCCAGGCCTTGACCCCAGTAGTCTGCATGAGGGTGGACGCAATATATCCGATTCATCAACTGGCTTAAGAGCAGATTTCTAAGATTTCTGGCTTCGAAAAAATTCCAAGCAGGCTGCTCCTAGAAGGGAGAGTAGGCAGAGAGGATGCGTTTCAGGAACGGGGCCCCGAAGCTCACAGCTACGACCTGCCGCCTCTCGACACTGCCCTGGACTTCGCGCACCTCAGATGCCAAGAAGAATCAGAGTACATTTGAGTCCCTCACACCGGGCACTGGCAGTATCATCGGGGGGAAGACTTCGCCTTCACTACTCGGTGTTCTGAACACGACTGTCCCGACAGTGTGCGCAAGTGCCCGGCTGAGATTCACCTTGGTCCGCTTGAAGGCCTTCACCGAGCCGTTCTGCATGCGGGGCATGCTCCTTCCGACGTACAGAGGGTTGTGGAAGAGGGTGCGATCCTTCGCTGTGAACTGAAGAGACCAGTCCCAAACCGAGGGGAATTTTAAGCCCTTTTCATCACCCAACTGGATATTTTTGCTTATAGCAAATTCCTGCAAAATAAGAATTTTGAACCTTTGTGAAAAGATGCCAAAGTAAAGATTCTCTCACGTGAATTCCTGGCTTTGGGCGGGCCACCCGTCACCACCCAAGTTGAATTTTCAGAACCAGAGCAACACCAGACCAACTCCAGCCCATGGAGCAGCAGATTTTCCTTCCCGAGAAGAGGCGCCCTCGGCGCCCCAGGCCCGAGGACACGCCACAGCCTGCGTGAGGAAGGGAGTGGGACCTCTGTGCCATGAGTGTGTTGTGATGAGAACTCAGATTTCACAAACGTGACACCACAAATGTCTAAGTTACAATTGCAGCATCTTCCTTGTTAAGCACGTGATCACACATTTACGCAATTACCTGTTAGGTATAAAACCTGGTAAGTGAAGCAGCAAAACCACCTTCGGGTGGCGTTGCTGCCGTCTATCTCACGCCTCCACCCAGCTACGTGCCACCTACCCCGTGACCAGTATCTGGACCGCAGGCTGGGAGCAGGAAAAAGGGATCCACGCCCCACGGTCCTTGTACTTGTCGGAGACGTCAAAGACCCCAGCCCCGAGGCTGGGCCCTTGCTCACAGGAGCCCACCTCTCCCCGACTCACGCAGCTTGGTGGCCTGCGGACCTACCGACCCGGTCTCCCGGCACCGCAAAGCCAGGCTGCCCCGCGCTGCAGGTGACATGCGACCCCTGGCTGCTAAGTCCAGCGCCGTGCCCACAGACTGCTTCTCCACACAACTCTCACAAAAACAGACTCCTGCTCAGTGCAACTTTTATCCTGTTGACCTAGCATCTCTGATTACCCACTAGACAGCCCAAATGTGAAAGTAGAAATATAAAAGCACGATATTTAAGGTGGTTAAAGTCATTTACATGATCAGAAACAATGTACATAAGAGAAAAACAAAACATTCATAAAAATGAAACAAGTTCCTAGATTATGTCTTTAAATAATTCATTCAGAAAACTCATTTGTTATGGCTTAAAATGGTAGCTAAAATCATTTTAAAGTATAGACAGTCAAACCTCAGTTCTCAAACATCCCCCATCTCGAACAAATCACTTCTGAACAGCGTTTCAGGGCAAATGAAGCCCAAGAACCGAGGTCCCACTGTGTTTCAGATTCTCAGCTAATTGTCCTTCAATTCGATCTCATTGAAGTTGTAAAAACAAAGCAGCCACGGCCACCACGTCACTTACTGTGCTCTGCTTCACCCGCTGGTGCGGAGAGTTGAACAGGAAGGTGCCGAACAGTGGGATGCGGGTGCTGTCGCCCAGCACGGCCAGGTAGGTCTCCGAGAACTCGAAGGCAGCCGGGTGCTGTTCCAGTAGCTGCCACGTGGTGTCCAGGAACAGCAAGAACAGCGGAGACTGCAAGCATGACCCAGAAACGAGACTGCTTAATGCGGCCTTCAGGTCCCATGTTTCCTTCCAAACTCATCGCTATGTTGAGAAAGACGTAACTAACAAGACACCCGAGCCGAAAGCCCGGGGCCCCTAGGTTGAGCTCAGGACATGTTTGACGTGATAAACATCACAGCCCTTATTAGCCTGAGATGGAGGCAAAGCTGAAGGGGAAACACACAGACGGGCAGCTTGTTTGTCACTGTGTGAACAGGGAACAGTGAACCATGTGTAAGCCTAGCCCGGAAACAGTTCTTCAGGACAAAAAAAACCCACCCCAAACCAAGAAACAACTTCTGTAATCCACTTCTGCTTGCCCCTGCAGGCTCAGCTGCGAGAAGCTTCCCAGAGTCCCTGCAAACCGCGGGCACCGCCCATCTCGGGGTCCCAGGCTGTGTCCCCACGCACAACAGCTGTCGGCAGCTACTGTGGCCCGCCCAGCGCGCCCCGAGGAGTCCTAGCGTTTGCTACTGAACAGGAGATGCCACGGGCCACGCTGCACTTGCTCTCCAAGCCACCCCGGCAACAAGGTCCTTGCAGGGCCGCTCACAGCTTAACTAGGGGTCCAAGGCAGCCACTACCCCCAGCTGTTACACGCATGTCCCTCCAAACTCCCCCTTCTTTTCACCATGTCCCCAGGCAGCTGCGTCACCCTGGACAGGTCTAGGCGGTCGCAGCAGCCTGGAAGGCTTCTGTGGCAGATGAAAAAGCTCCCGCCTGGAACTGCATGCGGCCAGGTGCAGAGTGAGTCTGCGGGGAATGTCCCGTTCTCCACACGGGCGCTCCACTGTAAGAGCATGTGACACCCTCAAACGGATTTTTCAGAATATCTCATGTGCTCGTTATGTGCTTTGCAAATAGTGCATTTCTTCAAGAAGCTTTCCACTTAGAGAAAGGCAACAGACAACTCTTTAGACTTTACCTACAGTCACAATAACCTTCATCAGCACATCACCCGTTTGGACTCAGTCCTGGACTAAGCGGCAACACTGCACTAAATGCGATATTTAAAAAGCCTCCTCGTCTCTTTCCAGAAGGAACACGTCTGCACAGGGGACATGGGGTTTCCCTCGCGCACACCCCCAGCCCGGCAGCCGGCGCTGAGCCGTTACCTCCTTCTCCGATCTCTTCAGGTGGTTGCACCGGTCCAGGAACTGGTACCCTGCCATGACCCACTCCTTCTGTATCAGGCTCTGGAAGCCAGGGATGGTCCTGAAGTAGGGGTCCAGCATCACTTGCACGAGGGAAGCGACAATGCAGCTCAAGTCTCTCCCCTCCTCCTCTGTCGAGGAAATGGAGAGAAATGAGGGTCGCACCGGGGAACGCTGAGAGCAAGGGCAGGCAAGGTGGAGTGGACGATGCGGGGTTCCGTGCTGCCAAACGGTCCATGTGAGGCAAGTACCAATGCCACACATTGGACCTTTGCATCGACTCAACCAGTGTCTAGCAGGAGACGGCCTTGTGCATGCGGGTATTTTCCAGGTAACGGTGGCGCCTCCCGCACGGGTTTCACATCTCAGTGGTTGGTGGGGGAACTCTTTCCCGAGTCCCTCCTGCCTGTTTGTCAAGGACGTTAAATACAATGTAATCCTTCTGCCCACAACCCCACGGAGCCAGAGGCATCGACTCTAAGACCTGCGTGAATCAGAAAGACGGCACGACCAGGGAGAACGGCTGCCTGGCCACGGTAACGCCGTATGTGATTCTGCCAAGGACTGGAGCTGCCTCCCCATGGGGCGGGAGGGAGATTAAACACGTCACAGTCCCCTGGCTCCCTCCTCCTGCCCCGTGTGCAGCCTCCGCGCCCCGCTTCACTTGAGCAGTGTGAGGGGCCTGGACAGTCAATGGGCGTGGTGTCGTGAACCAGAGACGGCTGAGAGTCAAGAAACTGACTTGAACGTGGACACAGCACCCAGGCTGGCAGCAACCAGAGTTCTCAGCAATGAATTACCTTGGAGGACGACGGAGACACGCTTGCTTTCTAGTGTGTACACCAGTTCTGCTGAATGTTTCAGGAACGCCCTGAGGAGAGAGAGAGAAAAATACTGTTAAAAATCAAATTTACACTACAAAGCTTTTAAAAAAGTACTTGAAATCAGGCAAGTCTAACTTATCGCTATACACATTTGTAGTCTCAATAACCTTTATGAATTTCTTGAGAGTTTATATGATTCCTCAACAGACAACCATCTGGTTTTTGTATCAGGAAGTTCATTAACCTTTTATGAAAAGGAAGGAGCTGATTTAGAGAACGTTCTTGGAATGAACTGCAGAGGGAGAGGACAGATCAACTGGGTGCCAGGGGACAGGGCAGGGCTCTAAATGGCAGCAGGAGGCAGCCTGTGGTGACGGCGCTGGGCTCTGACCGGGGCAGAGGCCACGGCCCGCCGGTCGTAAAGCCGCGCAGGACCGTGGGCACGTGAGGGCCGGTGGGACTGGGAGGACCTGAACGAGGCCGGCAGCCCGTTTGCGGTCAGTCCCCACGCAGCGCAGTGGCGCGAGGCACCGCCCCGGGGTCACGCCGGGGGACGCGCACTGGCTCTGTGCCGCTTCTGCACCTCCTGGGTGTCCGCGGTTATTTCAGAACGTGAAGACAAAGCGGAATGTGGCGGTACAAACCTTACATATTCTAGCCACCGAGTATTTTCCAGTGAGGATAACCATTTCTCTTCAGTTTCTTCAAAAGGCTCTGTAATAAATGTGTGATCACATAGATAATTACATATATATTCACACACACATACACAGACAGTACCTTTTCAGGCTTTTTAAGCTTAATTTTACATGATCAATATCAGAGTTAAGTGCTACATCAGTTCTTAATATTTAGAAGTTGGCTTGAAGGAAGTGTCATGCACTTTAATTACACGCACATCTTAAGAAGACACGCCACAGTTCTATGGAAAACGCCACCAAGCATTCCCCTGGGCCTCCACCTTCTCGCAGGCTCTTCCAGGGAAACCTCGGGGCGCGTCCGACCCGCCGAGCCTCCTGGGAGCGAGTGACCCCGGCCTGGCGGCCGGCCCAGGCCGCAGCGCGGCCCCGCTCCCGGCGCCCTCCCTGCACGTGGCCGACGTGGCCTCGGTCGCTGACCATGCAGGGGCGAGGGCACCCCGCGCCATCATGCCCTGGCTCCTCACCACGCCCACGCTTCAGTCACATCCAACTTCCCGAAGGGCCGAGAACCGTTCGTGTCACTGTGCTTCCCGCCCTGACCCCGGCCCTCCCTCCGGGCTGCGCCCACGCTCACGCAGACCCGCGGCGCCGGCCGCCTCTCCCGGCTCCCAGGAGACACAGGGGCTCGCTCTGCGCACACTCTGCCTAAGACGCTCTCACGTGACCCGCCCCCCTGGGACACAGCGAAAGCACCTGACGAGGGTCTGCGCCGGCGGGCACCGGAAGCCGAGCCTGCACAGACCGCCGCGTGCCGCTGTCAGATCACACACCTCAGAAGGTGACCATGCGCTACCACCTTAAGTTTGTCTGGGAGGTAGCAAGTTATTCCTCGATGAGGACATCCCGTAAGCTTTCCAGGACTTGAAGGTGATTTATTTGGTTCATCTTTCCCTCCCAAACAGAAAGCATTTGTTTAAACTTGATTTTCTAAGGGCTCCTGACCTCATACAGTAATAATCTGTACAAACATTTCAATGAGCCTCTAGTTAAAAATATCTATTCCTATGTTTTTAAGGAATTACCACTTTTCCCACCACGCCTCATACAATGCTGTATCCCCCATTTGCCACTAAGTATATACAAAATAAACATGAAATTACCATTAACGCAGAGTTGTTTCAGTTTCACAAAAGCCCCTTGTATTTCTTGGATATTGGGCAGGGTCTTATCCAAATCTGATTTGTAGACATCACTTCTCTGTGGATGACTTTTAGTTATTGCGTTACAAATCCTAATAAAGACAAAATCCTTCCATCACTATTCATTTATTCAACATACATTTCTTGAACACCTGCTATGAGCCAGGACACTACAAGCTGGAGAGAGAGAGACGAACAAGACAGGCAGGGCCTCTGCCCTCGTGGGTTCACCGTCCTGGTTGGGGTGTCGGGGGTAAATGGGAAAATAACAGGCAGTGGCAAAAGCCACAGGTGATGTAATCGGGAAGCACAGGCTGGTTCAGGCCCCAGGTCAGACGAGGCCCCTCTGTGCAGCTGGCGCGGAAGCCACGCCCCAGACGAGCCGGAGCCGTGCACAGACCTGGGGGCAGTGGCCCGGGCAGAGGGACAGGAGGGGCAAAGGGCCTGTGGCAGGACACAGCTGAGCTGGAGGGGAAACGCGGAGGCGGCCATGGGGCTGACGGGACGGGTCCGAGGGTAAAAGGGTGGAGATAAGGGTGGCCAACAAAAGGAACCTGTCCTAGATACAAAGAACAGGACAGCGGAGAAAACAAAAGGAATGAATATCAGTCTTAGCTTAAATAAATTAAAGTCTTGCCCCGGCCGGTGTGGCTCAGTGGACTGAGCGCAGGCCAGGTCCCCGGTAGGGGGCTCGTGAGAGGCAACCACACACTGAAGTTTCTCTCCTTCTTTCTCCCTCCTTTCCCTCTAAACATAAATAAATTAAATCTTTAAAAAATAATAAAATAAAGTCTTCCCTTCAAGCACATTTACTTCATCAGCAGGCATGCTAGTGAAAAAGCAGCTTGGAATATGCTCATTTCCAATTACAGGCTGGGGGCCTGCCCTTCACAAGGGTGCGACATACTCATTTCTAATGTGATTAAAGTGAAATTAAAATCCACCAGGTAATATGGACTTGTGCAAACTGCAGTCACCCGCTTCTCTGGAAAACTACAGGGTCCTCTGGGAGCCACCTGATAGTCACTTGCTGCAGCAAATGTGTCTCTCTGAGTTGTGGCCCTGGGGGAGGACCTAAGATCTGGCTGTCCCCAGAGCAGCCCGTGCCACCCAACTTCTGAGACTCTTGGAGCCTGTTTTCTAAGATCTGCTCCTTTGTTCTTCATTTACTTAACAAGCACCGAATGCGTAGTGTCATAGGTGTGTCTCCTGCGTGCAGAGCAGACAACGGTGTGAAACAGCCGCAGCCCCCTCCCCGCACGGAGCTCACAGCCTCACAAGCAAGGAAGGCACAGATCGAACTGCCACGCACACAGCCACAGACGGAGAGCTACGGAGAGCGTCTGACCTGAGGCCGAAGCGCGCCTGGGAGGCGGGGGAGGCTCACCCACGAAGGTGACATCTGACGGGGACAGAAAGGGTCGGTGAGGACCGAGTGGGCGGGGGAGCATGCGCGAGGAGGAACAGGACGAGGGCGGCCCAGGAGAGACGAAGGCAAGGAAGGCCAGGGCGGGGGACCTGGCGTGTCGGGCGCCATCCTGGACGAGGCGGAGGAAGCGAGGGCTCCCTCCAACACACTGGCAGGGGTGAAGCTAGGGCAGCCACATGTGCGTTTTTAAGGTTTCTAAAAAGTGAAGTGACAGAGCCAGGTGACTGACAGGGCAGAGGAAGGAGGCGAAAGAGGACGGCATTGAGAAGGGCCCGCAGGCTTCCGAAGCGCAGGTGGGGAGGGGCCTGGCGGCCAGGCCCCGGCGTCTGGCTCTGCACACGATGAGCGCAGAGGGCCTTGGGGACCTCGACATGGGAGACACGCTTTAGACTGGAGGCCCAAGTTTCACAATGGTGACTCAGGCCACGGGCCACAGCAGGGCTTCTTTAGGAAGGAAACGCGAGCGGGAAGAGGAAGTGGCCCGACACCTGCACAGCAGCATCCGCGGAGAGGGCGGAGAGGGCGGAGAGGGCGCGGCCTGCGTGGCACCTGCCCAGGGGAGGAGGGCGGCCGTGGCGGCGCAGGGAGGAGCAGGGCTCTACGAGGGCAGACCGACCGCGGGGGCGCCCCGCTGTGCGGAGGGTTCCCCGCTGTGCGGAGGGCTCGGAAAGGCCTCCTGTGTGAACGACCGAAGAATGCGTAACTGTAACGGAAATGTCTGCTTCACCCTGAAGTTTCTCACCTGGAAATCACTGCTCTCCAGCATTAGAGCAAGAGCCTCGAGTGTCTCATAAGCCAAAGCATGAATTTGTATTTAGTATCACTTAAATGTCAGTTAATTTTAACATATTCACATTCTTCTCAAAATGGCAATTCTTGCATAGAATGCATGGCGCTAACTATCAAGATTGTGCCATTTCCCAACTAACTTCAATTAGGCAGGGATTCACTGTACTTATTGACGACAACTAGACGTGTCCAAAGCAGCGAAGACCACGCCTTGCTCACCTCTGGTCCACCTTCCTCTGCTGCAGCACGTCCTTTATGAGGGCCATTCGCACAAGGGCGCTGCCGTTGGAGTGGCTCCAGCACCAGAGCTAGGACGGAAGCAGAGCCCTTATGTGACTGGGGAGGAGAGCGGACACCAGCAACCATGAAATCCAACAGTGTCACTTACTGGCATCCTCCTCCCAACAAAGGAATGGGAAAAGGTCTTCAGGTCTTGGTCTGCTAGGGAACTTGGCACGACAAAGTACTCTGGAAGGCTGGAGGGAAAGAACAAACCACCGCGTAAGAGTCCTGTGCTGTCGGCAGGGTGAGTGTGTCCTGCAGACGCCACATGTGGTCAAACACATCTATCCCCATTTAACGTGCACCCCACATAGTGCACATCGTGTGGGACGCTAACGACCCCAGACAGCTCAGTGAAACATGTATGACGTGGCCAACTATCACAAAATTTATATTTACAGCAGGAGGAAAATCCGAAGGAGACCCTGCAATGTTTCCAGAATGACTATCAATCAAACGTGGCTGCAGTTTCTGAAAGACATACCCACCTTGCCCTCTGACAGGCTACAGGGAAGGAGATACCAGGCACACAAAACAAAAACCCGCAAATCTGCAAATCTACCAAGAAGCTTTCACTCCCTCCCTTCTCCTCCCCCTCTTCTACCTCCCCTGTCCCCAGAGACCCGCAGGCTCCACAGCCCGGAATAGGCACCAATTACTAGGAGGTCGCTCAATGCACCTTAAGACGCCTCCTCCTTTCTCTCTGTCCCCCACAGGGCCAGGCAGGGGGCCAGGCCATCACGTGCTCCTCCACACATGACATGCCAGAGCGCGCTGGCCACAAAGTCTAGAGTCTGGGGGGACAGGAGGCCCCAGCTGCAGGCTCCAAACACCTCCCCAGAACTGCACCCCCGCAAGCTCCTGGACCTGACCAGCCAGCAGCAACACTGCTTCTCTGCAGGAACCTGTGAGGACTTCCTTTAATGGTCTGAAAATAAAGCGTCCCCCAAACCCACCAGTACTACATGATGTAAGCAAACGAATTTAAAAAACAATTTCCCGGTCACTTCTGGCAGAGTCTAGGGAACCAGCTCGTTGCTCAAAACTGGTTAAATAACGGAAAAAAGTAAACACAAAAGTAGACCCTTGAGCAACACCGTCTGAACTGAAGGGTCCACGTATAAATGGATTTTTTCAGTGAATACAGTAAATGTATTGTCTCTATTTTATGACTTTCCTAATAACATCTTCTTTTCTCCAGCTGGCGTTAGGAACGCAGTTCGGGATACACATGACATACAAAATACACCTCAGCTGACTGGCTGTTCTCAGGAAGGCTTCTGGCTGAGCAGGCTGTTAGCAGGTAAGTGCTGGGGAGCTGAGGCTGTACGTGATTTTCGGCTGTGGGGCTCTGGGGCCCCAGGCGCTGCCCGTGCCGTACAGCGGCACTGCAGGGTCCTAGCGGGCTGACGGGAGGGACGCCTGCTGGCAGGGGGACAGAGTTGGAGCCCGACCGACAGCACTGCCGTCGCTGCTGAGGAAAACCGCAGGCGGCGACGGCCCAGGAGGGAGCTCTGCGCCGCAGGATCAGGCCAGGCGCACAGCACCCCCACCGGGGCACTCCTGCCAGAACCCCGGGCCTGCACCTAACGAACCCCCATGTGAACCCCGGAGCCAGCTCGCCCCATGCAGGGAACGCAGGGGGCGGAGGAGCGCACTGAAGGGCGCCGGCCAGCGCCCTGAATGTGGAAGACTCTGCAAGGCGAACGGCCGGCCCTGTCAACAAGTAAATGGCTAATAAAAAAGGGGGTGGGCAGGGGCTGCCCTCCATAAAGGGCCCAAGGCCAGAGCAGACAAGCTCACTGTGTCCCGACCCGGACAGACCGAGCACAAGAGGCCTTGGCAGGACCCCGATGCACAGAGGCACTGGCTGGATGAGCGACAGGTGGGAGGAAGGCCTGCCAGTTTCTTTCCGTGGCTACGACGCTGTCATTACGGTACAAAAGCCCTTCCACATAAAACATGCACTAAAGCACCGTTAAAAGCAAACGCCCCATCCGCTGTGACCTGAGAGCCGTCAAGGAGCCCGGGGCCGAGCCCGGCCGCCGCCCTGGGACTCACCACGTGGAGACCATGTAGCCCTCGTTGACGGAGCAGACCCGCCACCCCGAGGCGCCCGTCCTCTTGATCTCGCGGTCCCAGTCTGAGTACGTCTCAAAGAGCGGAGTTTTCTGGCTGCCGCCACCACCAGCTCCACTGCCGCCTCCTACGGGCATCCCGTTAATTTTGTTGGCTACAAGGAAAAGCAATCTTTTTAGTTCTGTTTTGGCAGCGACACGCCGTCCTGCCTCCGCGCCTCCTTCCGCAAACACCCCCGGAGGCGGCCTCTCGGCCCGGCCTGTCCTCTCGTGTCGCCAGGACTGTCTCCTTTCTCTCGCGGTTCTGCCCAGGGGCGGCCCGTCTCCCTCAGGACACCCGGGCCCTCCTGCCCCGGCCCCTTTCCCACTCCTTCAGCACCTCCGGCTTTCTGTCCCCCTCCCGGCTCTATCTCCGATGCCTTCACACACCCCCGGGTCCGCAGGGCTCTGAAGACTGTCCCTGGTGTTGCACTGGTACCGCCCTGGCGGGTCCCCTCCTCCTACCGACCACCTGCCCCAGTGAGGGATGGCGCCGGCTGCCATGGCTCCTCACCACGTACCCTCTCCTTATGTCCAACTCTCTTTAATCCCTGCTGGTCAGTGGAAACCATGCATGAGCCTCCCCCCTCCCCTGTCCTCAACTGTGGGAAATCCAAGTCATTGTTCATTTTCTCCCTGTTTTACCTGGAGAAGTAAGTGCATCCACAAACATCTGTTCTCAAGCCATCCAACCCGTCACCTTCTAACAGCGCCTTCTCAACCCTTTTCTATGGCTCACTATAAAACTGTCTTCTAGCTCTACTCAGTTTCTCTTCGACAAGCTCACAGGGATCCCTTATATTCCATCCGCGTGCCAGCCCACTGGGAATTTCAGCAGGAAGTGCCTGGCCTTGAAGTTCCACGGCAAGGGGCCTTCTCTAACCTGGGAGCACGCCCACGGCCTCAGCAGGGCCTGCAGAGCGGCTCGCGAGGACCAAGGTGTCCCAAGGGTCAGCCTCGTCCACCCTGCCCATCTTGGTGACAGGCGGCACACCTTTCGGGGCCAGGGTCTCACGGTGAGGGCGGCAACTGCACAGGTCTCCCAGCGGCATCCCGGCCACTGCTGGGCTGCCCCCAAAACTGCCTAACCTTGCTGCATGACCACTTCCCAAAACACATGCGTTCCCGGTGCCACAGCCTTGCTTCCGGTCATGCTCCTTTCCCAACCCAGTCCAGCCACCCTGCAGGGCTTGCCTCACGTACCTGGTCTGCCCTCAATGTCCTGCTGTTCCCTGACTCCTGCCCTCCTCTGCAGCCGTGAAACAGCCTCCGCGGCCCCACAGACAGGCCACACTCAGGCCAACACTGTTTATTAGCACCTGGGGCAAGGCAGGTGCTTTCTGAGACCCTGGTGTGCTAAGGCCTGAATGTGACGTCCGGCCTGAAAGCACAAACACTAGTCCCAGCGCGCTGGACGCACAGGCGCCACGGCAGGGCAGGGAAGGTCTCCTGACTTGAGCCCGTCTGCACCGAGTCCTGGGGATGGAGCCACACACTGGCAGGGGCTGGTGTCGGGAGGCGGGCGTGCTGGGCAGGGCGGATCCTAACCAGCACGGCGTAACTACACAGCCTCGGTGAGCAGAGCGCCAGCGGCGCGAGGGGCGGCCCAGAGGCTGGAGAATCAGGTGGGCCGAGACCCCTGAGCTGCACTGCCCCAAACAGTAACCACTAGCCCCTTGTGCTATTTAAATTTAAGCTGAAATTATAATAAAATTATTTATCCAGTGATTCTGACTTTAGCAGAACTTGTTGAAAATTAAAGTGCTGACTCCTAAGCACATATCCTGGAATCCCCCCCACCACCCCCACCCCCGGGGCCATGTCTAGGGTAACAGGCCGGAAGGAACCTCAGCGGCTGGGCTCCCTCCAGGACGCAGAACCTTCACGAAATCCCAGGCAATGCCCACTTTACACACAGTGGCCCAGGAGACCAAACCCACAGGAAGACAGTCAGTGTGAGAAAACCTAAGTCCTTCGTCACAGGACCAAACTGAAAGGGAAAAACCCATACAATCAGCCTAAGTGCAGAAAAACATTCAACAAGAGTTTAACCCCTGTTCCTGATCTAAAACAAAAACTTCAGGAAATGAGGATACAAGGGAAATTTCCTTGACTTGACCAAGGGTATTTATCAGAAACCCACAGCAAACATCGCTCTCATTAAAACCAGGAACAGACGATGCCTGCGGCCATCGCGACCATCCGATGCTGTGCCACACAAGGGGACGAAAGCAGAAAGAACACGCCCAAACCTCGTGAAGAGCAGGGCAAGCAGCCTGGCAGCGCACTCCTGGCAGAGTCCGAAACGAGCGCTTTCCAGCGTTTGAAGGTACAGGCCTCAGCGAGCTGGTCCGAGGACACACTGCTGCTTGTGAAGTGAGAGCGCCTGCAGGATCTTGCGTTTTTTGCCATTTCACTGGCTTCACTCATTCAAGACCTGGCCGCCTCTCAACACCCAGGACCAGGACTTTTTCACACTCCACACCTTCTCCAGGGAGAGCTTATTACAGAAAGGGCAGCCGACACTCAATCTGGCGTCGCAGAGTCTGGTAACTCCGGTGTTTTCCAGAGAGTCTCAAAGGCCTGACGATGCCTGTGGCCTGTCCCGCAAATGGATCGGAAACGGACCACTGATAGGGGCCACAGCAACGGGATGGCACGGCTGCTCATCTTAGGGGGATCTGGGTCCCCCAACAGGCAGCTGGGAGGTTTTAGGACTCGGATCCTCAGCTGACTGGAAGTGAGCCCTGGGTCTGGGCGGGCCCTCTCCGGTAACACAGTTCAGAAGCGCAACCTGCGGCTGCGCTGAGAGTATCTTAGAGAGGCCCCTTGCATATTTAGAGTGGCCGCAAGCAACGGGAAAGACAATCAAAGTGGTCAAGAAAGAAAGTCTATCACTTGGATGATACTGCAGAAATTAGATGAGGAGGAGGCAAAAAAAGAAAAGAAAAAAAAAAAAAAAGACCCTGATCATTAAGAAGTTCTACAGAGGTGAGTCAACCCAGAGGCTCCAACAGGAGGCGTGAGCTTGCGGGCCTGGGATTCTGTGATGCACGTGGCTGGGTAGGAATCACTAGGACTCAGGAGACAGGAGGGTCCACCACAACATTTACAGCTACACTGGGATCTGAAAGAGCTGGTAAGCGCTGTCTCAAATGCACTGTATATGCTCTGAGTGGCTTCCAAAGAAGCATCTGAAGGAAAATCTACTATCAAGACCTATGTTAATAAAAAGGATAAACTCAAGGAATAAAATAAATGTCGCTGAAAATGCACATTTTCTGCCAGGAGTCTCGGACGACTTCAGACTGCGTCACTGCCTTTTCGAGCACGACGCTGGCCGTGACTGGGGCTGCAGGTCACGCCGTGAGGCTTGCAGTTCTTCAGGAGCATGATTGCACATCTTATCAATTTTATAACAAAGATGAGCCTGCGCTTTTTGGACATTTGCCCAAGAATAGCCTGACTGATGAAAATAGAGTCTTTGTGGTTCCTTTCAAGTTCAGAGGGAACAGAAAGAGCCCTGTTCTCCAGGCAGCCCCGCGACGCGATGGCAGGGACCGTGGGGCCGCGTCTCTCCCTGGGCTACGGCCACCCCGCAGAAGCACCTGGAGGACCACGGAGCTCCTCAGGGGCGGCTTTCCACTCCAGCAAGGCCGACTTTCCGAGAAGAAAACCTCGGAAGGCCTAGGGCCATCTGCGAGATTCCTTTCTTCCATTACTGCAGAGGACATCCTCTGACTTCAGATCTTATGTGTGGAAACAGCTTTGTCACCTACCTGCCTGCAAAAAGGACTTCTTTAAGCCAGCCAATGAGCCAAGATGTCATCCAGAAGTTCAAGAGTGGGTTACTGGGCATCTTTCAATCACAAGTAATGAATTCTGCCTGCAGTGTGTGGGAATCTCAGGCTCCTTTTGATCTTAAAGATGCAGTTTATGCTTCTGCAACAGCACGGAAGGATATTAAAGGCTGTTACCCTAAGAGGAATCTCAACAAAACCTTGGCCAAGTGTTTATATTTAGGAAGTATGGTCAAAGGCAGGGGAGTCAAAAGGATGTAATATAAAGTGCTCCTGAATATTTTAAGTATTACTTATTAATTTTATCAACAAGCTGTACCTAAGGAGATACAGAGAACTGATAGATGCACATAAGGAAATGCAGCCCTGGCTAGTGTGGCTCAGTGGACTGAGCACCAGCCTGCGAACCCAAGGGTCACTAGTTCAATTCCCAGTCAGGGCACATGCCTGGGTTGCCAGCAAGGTCCCCAGTAGAGGGCGTGCGAGATGCAACCACACATTAATGTTTCTCTCCCTTCCTTTCTCCCTCCCTTCCTCTCTCTAAAAATAAATATTTTAAAAAGAAGAAAAGAAAAGAAAAGAAAAGAAAAGAAAAGGAAGGAAGGAAGGAAGATGCAGCAAAAGAGCTACGGGCTGAATAAACTAAGGTCTCATTAACCCAGAGGTGCCCATAAGGACGGATGAGGAGACCTGGGAGCAGCGACTGAGGCAGGCGTCAGCTCGCCCAGGGCGCAGTGGCGCCTGCTGCGTGCAGAGCTCCGGGCACTGCATTACTGCAGAAGGCACAGAGCTGCACTCCGGACTAGCTGCCTCCATGAGAAAAAGAGTAGCGTCAAGAACTGATCTGGATCATCAAGGAATTTAAGCAGGAATCAGAGACGCTCCTACAACCCTTCTATTGCCTGCAGTTGTCACTTCAGCTGCTGCCTTTCCACAACCCTGATGATCACACCCCACAGCTTGATGGCCAAACCAAAAGGAATCCTCACCTAACTGGCAGGATAGGACGGGAAGTGCATTTTCTTTACATTAAGAGATAAACGTTAAAATTCAACTGTATTGCTCAAATCTAGGCTGCAGGTAGTTATATTTTGATAAGAAAAATTAAGTTACAAGAACTTCGTGGTCCAACTTCTCTGCAGCGCCATGACGTTCCCATACCATCTATGACAGATACTTTACAAGTGTCTTTTAAAGTAGTGAAACTATACTTGTACTTCACGCATCTGCTGATACTACAGTGCCCTCATTTTAATGTATTCACAATATGGTGGTGCTGGAATATACGTTCATTCTACAGATTATTTAAATTGCTACCATATGTTTTGAGGCAAGAAAATGTAAGACCCGTGCAATTAATTAATTTATAAGATCACCTCCAGACCATGCTGGGGTGAACGGATCTTTCATTATAAACATGTAGCCGATTTTTCTTCTTCCTTGAAGAGTGGAAGACCATGTGACCCAGTGAGCGCGCTGACATGCGGTCACTAACCCACAGGAAGCTAATATTAGACGTGGCCTCTTCATTACCCCTCTATCCTTTTATGAGGTCTTTAAAAATGGCTGAATTACTGACCCCCTGGAATTTTCCTTGATTACATCACTGCTGACCCATGAATGTGGACAGAACCATTTCACGTTTATAAAAACTGCCTCGCCTGTATCTGTCCTCTGGACAAGGGCTCATCTTCCTGTCACTGATCTTATTCTGAATCATAAAGTCGCTGTTCTCACTACCTCCATGGAGTCCACCACAAAGTTCAACCTCCTCTGCTTTTACGTGGCATCACACCCAGCCAGAGAAGATCATGCACTTCAAATATCTTAACATTCTGCCAGTTTTCTTAGAAGATAAGATGAACTCAAGCTACCAACTAAATGGGGGGAAATGGGTCTTTCCTCGTCACACGCAAGCCGACGACTGCAGGAAACTACTGACATGGCCCCTGTGTTTGGCTGCTCACAGGGTCTTCCTGGCCCCTTTTTAAGAAACAGTCTGACAAGTACTGCCTCTCAAGGGGCAGGGCTGGCTTCTCTCACAGTCATGAAGCTAGTGACTCCGCAACCACTGCCGCTCGGGCGGTGAGAGGCTTCTGAGAAACATAAGAATCAAATTTACACAATGTAAAGTTAGTCACAATATTTAATATTTTCATATTTACCTGAATTGTGGTATTTTTTCCCAACATATTCAAATGCAAAGAGTAGCTGGAGGTCTGTTGGCTGGGAATAATGAGCTATTGCAAGGCATACCTAGGAAAAATTCTACATTTAGAATTTGATGTTAACACACTTAGTTAAATGAAATGTACAATAAGGCCTTGACTATTGGGAGCGTCTTGGGGCAGTGATTACAAACACTTATTTACACGTTCTTCTGTTGGCCTAGAAGGCGAAAGAGCTCCCTAAGGCCAGGTACCTCATTCACTGCGGTGCCCTTAAGACATTATTTAATTCTTAGTGAGTAGATGGAAAGTATTCAGTAAGTGTTTGCTGAGTTGAATTTTAACAGGCAGGTAATTTTATTCAAATAAATGGCACTTGAAAACTACAGAAGCAATCTCCCAAAAGGCAGTGACACATCCACTCCTAAGAAAAAAGAAAAAAAACTTTCATTTTCGGAGGACTATAGTAACTTAATACCAGCAATTTGGAAAGCATAATGGAAGGCATGAAAATTTAATGTTCATACCTCATGGATTTAAAAAAATGCAACCTGAATAGAAAAACCTATAATCACAAAAAATAAAAATTAGCAAGAAACCCCAAAATACGTGGGTGGCTCAAAGAAACACATAAAAGGCAACGCCGCGTCTCAGTGAAATGGGCCGAGACTGCGCCTGCGGGGGAAAGCGTGGGCCCCCGAACCCAGCAGCCGGCCCAGCTCCACCAAGCACGTGCCGCAGCCTGTGGGAGGCCCGTCCCTCTCTCCGGGCCTCGCTTCGCGCACCTGCAACATGAAGACAAACCTACGGCCGTGGCGTGAGTTAGTAATCCTGATGCACGCGTGCCCCCTGGAGGAGCCCCGCACGTGAAGCCTGGTTCTTGCTATTCTCAGCTGGCATGGATGGTGGGAGCGAACGCTCTTAAGCGAGCAAGAAGGAAGGAGAAATTTAGGACATATGCAAGGAGAGAATGTTAGAGAATCTTACTGGAAAAGATTGAGTATCACTGAGAAGGACAAGCGTTAAGCCAGTATGAAGTGCTTTTGACAGCAAGCGAGCAAGAAACGATGTTAATTGTTAGTTTGGGGTAGGCTGATGCAAATTTTATCAACTGGTAGGTATGTATTAGCTTCTTGTTTAAAATATAATTAAAAAGCCTTCTATAGAGGGAAGTTTCTGGCCTTCGGCTACGCGAGTCCCCGCGGCACCCGCTCTGCGGGCGGCCTCCCGGGCAGCCTCTCTGGCAGAAGCGGCCGCAAGCTGCGCCTGGAGACGGTCGCGTGGCCCCCGCGCCCTCTGGGCCCCACACGCAGGGTGGAAGCTCTGCTGCTCTTTCCTCAAGGCTCTTTCACTTTTGCCCCGTTTTGCTGCACCGCCACAGCCACGCCCACGGGCCACACCCACCGCACGGCATCTCTGTGGGCGTCCCTACGTGTTCTAAAACACGTCCGCAACACCCAGGAATTCTCTTGCAAAGATGAAATTCTGACCAATAAGTCTGCTCTCTGGGTGTTTCGCGGTGGCTCCCAGATGCCTCCCTGACCAATGCAATCTTCCTCTTGGTTCTGCACAAGCTGGCCCCCCGCCCCCTCACCTTCCCACCAGCCCCTCAGTGCCCTGCACACGATCTGCCTGACCTGGTCCCCGCCGCCTCTCGGCCACGCTCTGCTCGGGAAATCGTCCCCCTCTGCTCAGCCCACCGGGCTTTCTCTGAAACCGCTCAACTCTCAGCGCTTGGCAGGCTTCCCCAGGCCGGGCCAATTTCGCAGTTCCAACGGCAAAAACCCTTCTGCTCTCTCTGCCTGACAGCAGATCCAACATAAAGTGTTTCTTCAGCAAACTGTACTCGGGTGGCTGCACTTCCAAGGTATTCACACAATAGTCATGGGTGTCAATCAAAAGCAAGACATGGGCTGTTTTCCTTCCATCAAGTTCAATTTCTCCAGGGGAGACAGCACGTCTCTCGTCCACTCTGCGGCAGCGAACAGAACAGACACAAACCCCTGTCCTCATGCAGCTTACCTTCTAGTCGGGAAGTAAGAAAGACTGTGGTAAGTTAGATCATTCTAAGCGCTGAAGGAGAGGGGAAATCCAGAGGGAAGGAGGGATGAAGCGCTCCAGGGAGGGAGGAGGAGGCGGGTTAGTAACTTAGAGACAGAGCAGGAGCAGTCTCTGGGCAGAACGAGTAAGGGCCGGGGCCCTCTCTGCTGGGCCGTCCCTCAGTGGCCTTCGGAGGCTGCTGTGCTCACCAGCGGCTGCACTAAAAACACTAGCTGGCAAGACTAGTTTGTGTCACTGCCTGTGAGACTTCTGGAAAGCAGTCACAGGCCTTGTTTTCACAAGTCAATCACCTCTCATTGATTACAGAGTATGTTCTTTGTGGCCATAAAGCAAAAACAAACACAAACTGTCTGCTAGGCACAACCCAGTGGAGCCCGTTCTAAAAAGCCCTTAACCATAGAGGGCACAACATCACATTTATAACGGCTAGGCAACGAATGGCATGTCTGACAGCGTGCACATTCTGAGAAGGCTGCAAAAGGGGGGTGAAACCGAAGCTCAGGTCGATAGCTGACCTGGGGGAAGGAGCTAGCTGTCCGGGGCTGGGATTACAACCGTGGGCGACTGCTTGTGGGACTGGAGGGCGGGCGCCTGCGGGAACCCCGGCAAAGGCACGGTCAACCCGAGCTCTCTGGGCTCCATTCGTGCCGCTGGTCCGGGGCCCTCCGGGGACGGGCAGCGAGCCAGGCGTCCTCTCTTCTGAGCTTTTTCACGCACACTATTTTAAAAGCCTCCATTCACATTCCTAGCTCCCATCACTAAGTTCGGAAGACCTTAAAAAGTAGGTCTCATTTTCATATGAAAGTATTCTAGTTTTGTAACATACTCCCTAAGCATCGAAAAAATTTACAAAAATGCTCCATCTTTAAAAACTGCCTCTGAAATAGTTCATTTGCCCTGGCTATCAAAGGAAATGAAGAAAATCTTGGTATTAAAGACGTTAAACTGTGGTAGATACTTTACTGTAGGGACGTGATTTTTGGACCGAGGCGGACACCCCAGACTGGGCGGACGCCAGCCCGTCCACAGGCGGCGGCTTCGCCTCTCAGACCAGCTGGATGCAGCCCGGGAGCGGCCGACACTCGCCAGGTCCTAGCACGGAGAGCAAACGGCCGGCCTGTGCGTCTGTGGTCCGAAAGCCACCAAGAAGTAAGTCTCAGACTCAAGGCAAAAATGACAGGTCAGGACAGGCCAACTGTTCTCTGAGGAGAGTACTGAACTGTCACTTGTAGAAAGTGTGCCTGAGCACGCGGCTCACAGCCAACCAATCCGAGGACAAAATGGAGAAGCAAGGGCACCTATTTCACTGACTATCTTGACATATACGTAACGTGATAAATATGAAGTTATATTTATCAAGTGACAAATCATTAAAAACAATTTTTTTTTTTACCCTGCTTCGAGCAAACGTTCTTGGAAAGGAAATGGTGACTCAAAGCTGCTTTGAGGCTAGATGTCCAATTCTGCACTGTCGAGTTCCATCCTAGACCTTTCCCAATGTCCTTACATGCTTGTCCCGCCCGGGGGTAATGAGGGAGAAGGCTGGTGACGCAGGGGCACTACGTCATCCCACTTTGTCTTAACACAATTTAGGCAGCACCAGCTAGACTCCAGAAAGCTTAAGCGCAATTTTTAACAAAATGTGAATCTACTCGGCATTTTAAGATTTCATATTTCAAATAGAAATATAAATGCTTTCAGCATTTCAAAACTAATCCACAGTCTGGCCACCAGAGAACTCTGAACATGCATTTGGTCATTTTAAAACAACTTTTAAAATCAAAGCACCTCCAGACAGAATGCAGCATTCAACGTCTCAAGGAAATAAAATCAATCTGTAGCTTCCCAACTTGCTACCTAGTTTTAGTTGAAAACTTCCCCTTGAAATAAAAGAATGCTAGAGTTTTGCTTTTAACTCATGAAGGATTAAGCTTTGCAGCCACATGTGATGTAACCCTCTGTATCTGAAGACATGTAAACCAGGGACAAACTATTCTATTTATATTCTTATTGCCTATATATTTTTTCCTGCATGTCCCGCCTATGACTGTACAAGAGACAAAAACAGTATTTCTTTTGGGTCTGCGGTAACATGCTTTTTATATTTTAAGACAGTGGGGAAAGGATTTTTGCCAGAAGCTTGGTCTTGGGAAGAAAGGGCCTAGCAGGCTGGACCAGGCTGCTCTGCGTGCACAGCTCAAGGAGGCCCCCGCCACTCGCACAGCCCAGCAGACAAGGGACATGCTGAGTCCCCGGGGCCTTTGTTCTCTGTCTCACTCATCTGGCAACTGACCACTTCTGTGAGAACATCTTTTATGTTGCCACTCTGTATTGTTATTTATTTTTCATTTCTTCACACTTTATTTTCTCAACGAACTTAGCCCATTGCCTCAGACATCAAAAATGACCAACAAGTAGTCTAGATGGCTCAAGAACCAAGCCAAATTATTATGATTTCCAATTACTGAGACAGTGTCATCTGAAATACAGTAGAGCATGGGAGAGATGGACCCTTCCTGGGAGAACGTTAAGCCACTATATCAAGTTCTTACATAAAAAGTGCCCTGTTCTAATTCAGTCTCCTGAGTTCCGTGCTGTCCTATTCTTGAGATGCTACATGTTCTGAAATCAGGGTTTTCAGAAAGATTCTTGATGCTTTACTTGATTAAATTACTACATGTACTGAAGATCAAGAAGGTAACTTGGCTAAAATATTTTATGCAGCATCTACCACCTAACCAATACTAAAGCCTTTCTATATGAGAATAGGCATCTTAAATCAGTAAAATGCAAAAATAAGAAAACAAAAACAAAAACAAAACCCCACTGCAGAACTGAGGAGCAAAAAGGGGTTTTCAATGCCGCCGCACGCCAACAGGTGGCTTTACGGACTCCGTCTGACAACTTTCAGCCACAGACCCCTGCACCCCTGCGCTAGACACTCCAGTCCGAGCGGTCATGCGTTTTCAGATACTCATCTCATGCTTGCCGTCTTCCTGTGAAGAAACTGCTGATCTTAGTTCTAAAAATAAACCTGCCACCTCCTGACCAAAGCAGCAGATGCGGGCAGCTGCCCCAAGACCATTCTGACAGCCTCCTTTTGCTGTCAGCAGAAAATGTATCACAGTGAGTCTACTGATCACAGAAATCAAATGCGCCCAGTTTTGGGGGTGCCAAAGCTGCTCCCCTTTTGAGAAAGCAACTTCCTGCTTCTCTGAGACACTGCTCCTCTAGTCCCTGCGTTCAGACGCAGGCTTCTCCCAGGGACGGCTGCTACTCTCTGCGTCTGCTGCTCTACAGGCTGGGCGCAGCTCCTCTCCTCCGCGGGAGGCCGAGGCGTGGAATCGAAGGGGGGTTTCTGCCCTTGACTCTCACTCCACAAACAGGCAATACATTCCCCGGGAGGCAGGAGGGAAACAAGAAGATTAGAAGCTCCTAGCTTTTGGTGGTCCCGGCAGAATGTCACTCAGATTAATTCATTCAGAGCTCTGTAAAGCCCGAATACTCATTAGGCCCCTCCCATTACTATCCATTTCCCTGGCCCTTATGTACCTAATACCTTTTAGTTTGCTGATAAAGTTCTGGTTCGAAGGTCTTACCAAACATCATTTACAATATACCTCCATCTATTCAATCTTTGTAAAGAATGTTAATGTAAAAGATACACTAATCTCTGTGTGAAACTTGGTAATGTTTTAGGAGCTGTTAAAATATGATATAGAATATTTTAAAGCAGCCATAAACTAGTCCAAGGAAATAGTTCTACTAATGTATCTGACAACTTCCCTTAAAAAAAAAAAAAAGAAAAGAAAATCTGAGCACCTGAGAAATCAGAACTACCATACAGAACTGAAATTGGTAAGCACAACGCAAAATCCGGAACCTGACAAAGCGTAACCAAAAAAAGTATTACCTTCTTGGCACTTTCAGGACCTGATTCATCAAAGCGAAATCTGACAATTCTGAAATCTTTACAGTAAATAATCAACTCAGTTGGATTAAACTTCAATTTCTGGTTCGGGCCTAGGACTTTCTGCTTCCTCTTATGGTCGTTTACTAAAAAAGAAAAAAGAAAAGATTAAAATGTGAAAAAACTCTTTTTTGTTCCTTACTCTTTACCACCTCGCCACAGTCTGAGTAACAATAATTGGAAGGCTGCCCGCCGCCTGAGCACTGTGCTTGGCTGGACTCTTACATTCATTTGTCTGTGACGCCTAGAACTTTGGGGGATCAATTTTAACTCCGCTTCTGAAGTTATTTCACATGATTCTTTGCACACCAACCATCACCATCTAGATAGATTTTATGATTAAAATTTTAATTTAAAAGAGGATAAATCCTAGAAAATATAAAAAGCTATACATTCTATACCTCCATTTTTAAAATAATTTCTTGATCTCTTTCTTTGATCAATGTCTCTGGGACTCAAGGAAAAAAAAAAGGAAAAAACCTACAAAAATAAAATTCCAACCCAAGTATCTCAATTATCTTCACACAATTCTTCCTGGGTCGTATCAGCTTTATGGACTGAGCAAAGCATGATACATACCTGTGACAATCTGCTCAATGCATGTTAATGGGACATCATGTTCACCAAGGAGGAGGTTTCTGTAGTGGAATTTCTGAAATAAAAAGTTACGTTCATGTTAATTCTTTTCCCCATAACCTCACAACAGTAATCGGAGCCTTAACTTCAGAGTCAAAAGCCTTGACACAATGAGGCAACAGACAAGCAGAACACACCTGTAACGGCATCGGGTCATCCGTAACAAAGGAGATTTTGAAGTTGGTGCATATCAGCTTTCCCCACAAGTCGTACTGACTTGTGTCTGTTGCAATGCATTTTCTCACAAAATTGACTTCGTTTACAACAATTTCTCCTTTAAAGAAAGAAAAATACCATTGTGTGAGCGACAGCTGCACTCTACAATGTCAACAACAGTCACTGTGCGACCTGGAGGAACATTTCAGTGAAGCAAGAAGGCAGGCCAGGGGCTCCCTGGACCGCAAGCGCCTTCGCCCTCCCGCAGCACAACAGCAGGGCCTTGCGCCCCACGCGGAGGACACAGGCGCGGAGGCGCAGCGGGCTTAGGGGTCCGAGGCGGGCAGCCGGGGAGGCTGGACCCAGGTCTGTGCGCTCCGCCTCTCCTCACGGAAAGGTATTCTGGGCAAGAAATAAACTACACCCTCTCCTTCAGGCCATTATTTGATGGAATGTTCATATGTTATTAATACGCAGCTAGATCCCCTGAACCAATGTTTTTGATTTATTTTGGAAGGAATGAAAAAGAGTTCAGCTTTAACCTCAAAATTAATCATGCAATCTATTTATTTTAAATATATTCCATAAATCCTAATAAAATATCCCTCTGCACTCAAATTATAACTTAGTTGGAGATAAGACTTAAGAGTTAAAAGGGAGAAGATTAAAGAATAAAAACAAGAAACTAATATAAAAGTTAAAAGTTAAGATACTGACCTACTTTGTTTCTAGCGGTTTAAAAACCTTTAACAAAATAGATAGAACCTGTTTGTTGACAAGCCCCCAGACACCTACCACTTCATGAAGATTCCAATTATAGTCTCAAAACAATTCTTGCCTTGGCAAGGGGGCTCAGTTGGTTGGAGGGTCACCCCGATGAACCTCCGTTGCAGGTTCGATCCCAGTCAGGGCACATACAGGGATCAGCCAATGAATGCATCAGTAAGTGGCTGCATCTCTCTCTCTCCTCTACCTCTCCCTTCCTCTCTCTCTCCCCTCCTCTCTAAAATCAATAAAACAAACAATTCTCTAAATGACTAAGCGATACAGCATGAAGACACTGAACAAAGAACTGATTCACGTCCCAGAAGGGACAGAGCAAGACAGCAAGAGATTTCATCATCTCTTCAAAAGCTCAGGATGCTTTTCAGACTGGTGCACAATTTAAAATTTATGAATTGTGAATTGTTTATTTCTGGAATGTTCCATGTAGTATTTTAGACTGTGGTTGATCGCGGGTAACTGAAACGGTGGACAGCAAAATGCAGATTAGGGGGGACTTCTGTACAGAGAAACAGTCAGGAAGGTGGAGTGTGAGCAAATTAGAGAGGTTCAAGAACTTGGCCTTGATCCTGTTTAAGCAGGATTTTACTTATGGAGGTTCATGGACCATTTCTGAGCAGGAGCTGCCAGGTACGGGCAGACCGACAGTGGGGAGCGAGGAAGTGAGCGACAAAATGCTGGCCTCCGCCCCGGCGGCAGCCGCCCAGGAAGCGGAGAGCTCCAAACTGACAGCCCTAAGTAAGCGGAGCCACAAACCGAACGCTAAGATCCTGCAGATGCTAGCGCTGGTCATAGTTCCAAGTCCTTTGCTCTTTCTAAAGCAAGGTATCTGTGAATCAAAATACTACAAAAATCGGTCCACAATCATCTCTAAAGCCTATCTACAAAAAAGTATTAAACAACCTAAAACATCCAGCAAAGAAAGTCTTTACCTAAGGGGCGTGCAATCCAACTGAGAAAATAAGACTCACAGTGAGGCAGAAAACAAGAACAGCACATAAGTGGTCCACACATGCAATGAATACGTAAAAAAAAAAAATACACAAGACATCTACCCAACAATGGGCATCTTCCTTTCCCAGATGGCCCCACGGTCTTACGCTTCTCTGATCCCGTTACAAAAGACTGACAATCAGTGCATTCATCATCAATCGCACAGTGAAGCTCGGCGATGGATATGCTGCAGGCCCCGCAGACGGGACCGCGAGCCCACAGGCGGCCTGAGCACAGGGGCCCAAGCGGGCCAATGCTCCAGGCCGGTGTGCCAGACGCGGAGCAGGAACCTCTCCTGGCCCTGCCTCCTCCGCGCCCCTCCCTGCCCCCATCTGGCCTAGGTGCCCATTCTGGGAGCCCTCACGGCATCCGCCCTCTCGCAGGAGAGCCTTTCCCCGTGAACTGAGGCTGTCCAGGGCGGGCACCTGTCTTCTCCAGCTTTGTCCCCTCTGCCAGGAGCAGGACCACGCAGTCGCTCGGTACCTGCTGAACAACTAACTCGCTGTGAGCCGCGGCTTCTGCAGTCGCCCTCACCCTGCCCTGCCCCTCACCGAGCCTCAAAGGTCAGGCCCCAGGGTCAGGAGAGAGAAGCGCCATTCACTGCAAATCTCACATCCTCGTGACAAAGGGGCTGGCACTCCACCAGCCTCTGCTTCAGCACCGCCAGCAACGGGAAGTCCCCTGCCTCCAAAGACTTTCCACTTTCAAGCAGCTGAAACATCTGAAAGTGCTCCTCGAGATGGGGCGAAATCTGTCACTGCTGTGCAAAGGACAGAGCCAAGGACCGAGCTCTCCCACCTCCCTGGCGCACCCCTAGGCTGACAGCCCATCGGCTCCCTCCAGAAACCCTTATCGGGCCCTCAGGCCACCTGTGCTGTCCGGGAGGCCCCACCGCGCAGGGGTCGGCACAGCCTGCGAGGGGGGCTCAGAGCCGAGGTTCTGCCTGTGCCAGCGGTGCCACCCCTGCAACTGCAGCTACGCCGCCATCAAATGGCTGTTACAAGGACAAACCTGTAAGCTATGGATCAAGCAAAGATCTTAGTGGAAAAGGTCAGAAGCATGCCCAGAAGTCCCTTAGTAAAAAGAAGCAATCGGTGGCTTTTGTGTTGGCTGGACTTCAAGAAAATGGGCCCCTCGGTGTTCGCCACTGCCTCTCTCGATGAGACCGCACTGTGTGCACGTCCTCTGGGACCACGGCCACTGGCAGCGTTATCAAAGGCGCCACTTCATACCAATCTGAAAGCATCCCGGGAAACCTGTGCCCGCGCTTGCGGACTGGGGGCGGGTGGCCACGCTCGAGCACAAGGCTGGATGGAGATGGGGAGAAACAATCTGTTACAAGAAGGAGGGTGCACTTTTCAAAAGACGGTGGAGATTCTCAGGCTGACAAAGTAACTGATGCTAAACTGTACCTATAATATTAGAGTAATTTAATTGTGTGGTTTCCAGGCCCGATTCCAGAAATCAGGTGAACGACAAAAATTATTCAGGAAACCAAAAGATTTCTCAATCTTTTATTCTCCTAACATAAAAACTTTCTAGAAAGCCACAGCTACTATTACTATCATTTGAGAAAAGAACCTACCTACGCCAAAGAAGTTAGAACGCCTTAATTTCAGAATAAAACACAAGCTTTTACATCAAATCAATTTAGCTGTGAGGAAGAAAAAGCCACATCTTTCTTATTTTTCCCCATCTGACCAGCGGCTGGCCAAGGCTTCCACCGGCTCTGATGCCACCCAGGCCTTGGCTGACACTGGGAACCGCGACCCAGGCCTCAGTCCTCCACCTTGTCTGCAGGCAGCGTGGCGTTTGCCCAAGGTCTTGCTGTGTGGTCCAGGCATACTGCTCTTCTAGCACTTTCCCCATTGAGCACAGGGCCAGGCACCCAGCATGACCCACATGCTCACTGAACTCATCTAGCAGTTATTTAAAAAAAAAAAAAAAAAGACAATAGCATACCCTAGCACTACTTGCTCCTAACAAACATATGCTGAACACACCCACCCACCCTATTTTCAAAAGAACTAGAGCAATGTTATACATCGATAACACAATCGTTAAAAGACTGAGATTCATGTCATGATGGGAGATGAAGTGGAAGTCTAGGCAAAGCTGCTGGCTTTCGCTGGGCACTGTATTTCAATTCCAGGCGCAGGTATAATTTTCTTAAGAGGTGTGGCTCTGGGAAAGAGCAGAGACGCCCTCGCACAAAATAACAGTCTTCCTCCACGGCTCCATCCGAGAGCGGTCTGTGTGCGCACGCACGCACGGCTATGGTAGCAATCTAAGCAGGTGGCCTGAGGAGTTCTTTCGGTCAGTCAACATCTCAGTGCAGACAATGCTGGATGTCAGAGCCACAAAGGTGAATTAGATACACTCTCCATCTTAAGGAGTTTCATGAGCCAGGCAGGTTGAAAATTATTAGCAGAAACCATGATCTAAATTAGATTATTAGTCGTTTTCTTGTTTTCTCTGCTTCATGAAAGATGAGGATCATTTTAAATTTAGGTTTGTTAGGTTCCAGCAGAGCACTCTGTAACTGCACACAAATAAACAGTTGATTTTGTGTTCTAATTTTCATCTGCTTATTGAATTACAAGTTCAAACTTTGGGCAACTGAAGTAGGATATCCTTGAACCCAAGGCATGATGCCAAAGCATAACATGCAACACTCTCTCTCAGAACAATGACTTCTTGTTCCGGGTGCCTGCGTGAAGCCACAGGCAACCTGGCCACGCTGCCCCTTGGTTTCTGACTGAGGAAGGCCAGGTCGGCAATGCTCTGCTCACTGCGACTGGTCCTCCAGGTCTCAGGGGCGGAGCAGCAGGCTGCAGAGCAGAGGAGGGGCAGCGGAGGTCCCAGTGGCAGGCAGAGAGGTGACATGACAGGCAAAGGAGGAAACAGAGGCCCTGGCAGGGGCGAGTGTGGGGAGCACAGGATGAGACGGTGGGCAGACACACTAACTTAGGGCTGGCCGACTGTTCTGCAGGGACAGGTTAAATGCAAATAGAAGGCTGGGTGCCAGGGCCGCCCTGTACGCAAATGCAGGCCCAGCGCAGAAAATTAACACAGGTCAGAAGACCCAGCCTTGGCTGTGACTGCTGGGACGAGTGAACCCCTCAGGGTCAGGAAACGAGCTCCCATCTTCCCCAGAGCGCTCGGACTTTTCTGTAGAAAGGCAAATTTTTAGTTAATGCTACAGAATGGATGATCCTTCAATGTCAAGTCCTTCGTGCTTATTAACGCTTTTCATAAGCATATCGCAGTTTTTAAAAATCAAGCCCTACTTTTGTAGCTAAGACCATGCCGTTTACTAGTGTCAAGTCACAGCTTCAGAAGAGGAGAATCAAAGCCTAAGACGGGGCCTGTTCAAAGCAAAGGAAGCCGAAGGTCAAGGGCTCGCTGAGGCTCCCACGCACCTGCACACACCTGGGGTGGCCAAGCCTAAGCCCGCACTCGCAGGGAGCAAAGGTTACTTAGCAGCTCTAGGGTTTGCTCTGAGACAAGCACAAAGGATTACTCCGCGCACTCAGTTTTGGTGAAAAGCATGAACAAAATCAAGGAAACAAATTTTAACTAACTCTCACAATAAAAACTAAAGCAACTTTTAAATTGTGGGTCTATAATATGGCTGATGTTTTTAATGCATTTGTTCCTACTTAATGTTTAAAATTTTAAAGTACAAAGTTTAAAGGTTTCATATTTATTCAATGACTACAATAAAAGTTGAATCATTTCACTGGATTTAGTATGAGGTAACGACTAAGATTTTTCAATGTTCAGAGTAGCCATACAAACTGGTGTCTGACTGTATCTCAGGTTTAAAGCAGGCTCTTCTAAGTATCTGGCTACTTTCCCCAATAATCACAGTGAATAATGAACTTTTCCTCATTATTACACAATTATGATACGATTCAAAAATACCAATGAAGTAGCTTATCTGCTTTAAAACTAAACTGCTATCTACCACCAGTGCCTACCTCCATCTTAAAGGTTCTCTAAAACATCCTTTGTTCAAACCCAGCTCCACCCCCGTGGAAGGAGGAAAATTTTTAAAATCTTTCCCTCAATGCTGGAGACACGCTGGGCATCACCATCAGGAGCTGGGAGAGGGGGTGCCACTAGCTTCCAGCAGGTAAAAGGCCAGGAACAGCCCCCACAGCAAAGGACCAGGGGGGCCCCCACATGTCAACAGTGTCTCTGCAGGGAGATGCCTTGCCTTTCTAAAGGGACACAAGTAAACTGGCAAACACAGCTAACACTTTCAAACAACATTTGCCAGTAAGTGATGCAAAAAGTTCACTACGCTTTGTTATAGGTACAGAGATGCAGACGCCATGGAAGTTGCTTTCCACGCTATTAAAATGATGATCTGACTACTAGTCATCAATGCATGAAGTTGCAGGCAGGCAAGAAGGGCAAAGATGTTTCCACTACCTAAACAACTGGAGGTCGCTTTAAAAAACAAAAACAAAACACCTCGGGAGACGAGGAAAGCGGGTGGTAATATTCTTGACAATTTTCTATGAAGCTTAAACTTTCAAGAACAAACACCAATTAATCATTACTTTCTGATGCTGTTTAACTGTAAGAAACTTTTTTTTTTTGGCTTCCTCAGTGGTTAGATTTTTAACTAGATAAACTTTAAAGTAAAAAGGAAGGAAAGCTGACCACAGGGCACCAGTCAGTAGAATAATATTGGACCCAAACCCATTCACTAAATTATCTGTCGGACATCTAACGTTTACCTGGCAAAAGGACCGGTTCCAGTTTTTTAATCTTCGGTTCCGAATTAATCTTATCGTCAGTCTGAAATACATGAGCAAAATAAATCAAAATAAAAACTTTTTCTCCCCATGAGATACTAAAGCAAGTTCTGTGTTCTAAGGGATGACATATGCGACAAAGAAATCCGCGCCCCCACCCCCGCCCCTTACATTCTTTCACATTTTTACCGAGTTCTTTTGAAGGTCGGCTCACTAACGGCTCGGGGGTTTGACAATTAAATATTAAAACTGCCTATACTGCTTCCAGAGTCTCACACTTACTGATAGACAGGTACCTCGTCTACCAGGTGCCCATAAGCGACGCAATCCCGCTGGCGGTCACAGTGAGGACCGTCGCCGGGCTAACAAACCCAGCGCCGGACGCTCCCTTGAGTCTCGTCACACGACAAAACTACGGACCGCAGGTCACCGGGCACAGAATGGCTGCTGCGGAGTTTTACAAGTTTTTACCGCGCCAGTGGGGGCAGCCGCGGAGCTGGGGACAGGGGGGCGGGGGTGGCCTCCCGGCTTCCCCTGCTCCCGCGGGCTGGTCCGGCGGCTCCCCGGAATCTTCGAGGACACGGGCGCTCGCTGGAAGGGGGCTGTTTACCTGGGGCGGCGGTAGGAGGTAGGACTTGAACGTGGGTCTGGGCGGCTTGAGGGAGAACATGGTGCCGTCGCCTTTTCGCCCCGGCCCGGTCGCAACCCGGGACCCGCCACGCGCCAGCGGCAGTGCTGACGCCTCCGGACGCCCGCGGGCTTACAGCTCCCCGTGCGGCCGCCCAGGCCCTGTCTGCGGCCAGCCGGGCCGGGCGGACTGGCGGGCGGGGACACGGCGGAGCGCCCGCCCGAGCGGGGAGGAGCCGGGACAGAGTCAGGCAGACTCCGGCGCCGGGGCCCATCCCCGGAAGGGGCCCAGCGCCCCGCCCCGAGAGACGGTGCGCGCAGGGCCCGCGGCCGGCCGCTCTCGGCCTCTAGGCCGCGCTGGCGCCGGAACGCAAAGTTTGCGTCCCGCACCGTTCCCGGGACCTCGTCAAAGAGAATGCCGTGGGGTACAGTGCCCGGTAGCCATCTTGGGGGCGCAGGTTAGGGGGCGCGCTCCTACGGCGGCCCGCGGGAGTCATGGCGGCCCCCAGGGACCTACGGTGGCCCACAGGGGTCAGGTGATCCCCAGGGATCTACGGCGGCCCGCAGGGGCGGTGTGCACCTGCGGGAGTTGGGCTGTGACCGTGGACCATGCCTCAGGACATCCTCTGTCGCGACTGTCCGTTTTCTTCTGGGACAGCTCTCTTGACTATAGCTCGTTAGTCATGCAGCCGGCGGGATCACTGTTTGAAGTCCTCGGGAGGAGCCCGGGCGAGGGGGAAGGGACTCTGGTGCCCTGGCGTCAACCAGTCCCACTGCGCCCAGCGTGTGAGAGAAAGAGACCGACTCCGGGAGAGGGGACAGGTGCCGCCGGCGATGACCCGTCTCAGACATTCGGCGCGGTCAGTACCGCATATAAAGCCCCTTAGAGATCCCACGCCTGGGCGAGATAGTCTTCCATCACCTGTATTTTGTGCCCCCCGAGCTGACTGCCCATTTCCCCCGGATGCCCGCACCTGCCCGCACTGATGACATTGGCAGGCCGCCCAGACCCCTCGATTTCGTGTGTTTATTTCTACTCTCCTTATTAAACTTCAATGTGGAAAAAGATTAAGCAAGTTACCTCCTTTCTTTTCTTTCTCCTCCTCACGGGTAAAGATGGGAGTGAGCAGCTGCTAAGTGATCAAAAGCCCCAGCACAGGCTATGAGCCGAATAATCTGCCCATTCATTGCAAAGGACAGAGGCATTTCAGCACATCTGAAACTCTTAACGTATTTCTGACCTGGAGGAGCCTTTGGTGGAAGAGGGCTGACGATGTTGCATTTCGGTGACTCTGTTGGTTGAGACTAGATGCTTCTTAGGCTTTGAGGAAGAAAACCGTAATCCATTTCATAATTAATGTCACAAGGAAGCTCCAGTGTGGCCCTGGGAATTGTAGTGGCAAGTGTTGCTAAAGGAAATATTAAAAAACTTAGAGATTCCAAAGGTTGTTTTTATTCCTGAAAATAATTTATCCTCGGTTCAGCCCTTCTAGTTAACTTACGTGACACGTAATTCCATTTTGCTCCAGAACCACAACTGTGTTTTGAAATGTTAAGTCCACTGGGTTATAGGTGTTAGAAATACTATTGTGCAAATGCATTAAGAAACTTCTTTACGAATACTCTGTGACTTTTCTACGTTAAATGGACGAAAGAAAACAAAACAAAAAACTAACAGAAAAAGACCAGGTTTGTGGTTACCAGGTTGGAGGAGGTGGTTGGAGGATTGGAGAAATGTGGTTAAAAGGTACAAACTTTCCATTTATAGTTAGGATCAGTAAGTACTGGGGATGTAATGTAAAACATGATTATGACTCGCACTGCTGTATGGTACATATGAAAGTTGTTAAGAGAGTAAATCCTAAGGGTTCTCATTACAAGGAAAAAGAATTTTTTGGCTTCTTTGTATTGTATGTGTATGAGATGATGGATGCAAACTAAACCTATTGTGGTCATTCCTTCACCATCTAAGCCAAAAACCATAACGCTGTACGCTTTAAACTTACACAATGATGTGTGTCAATTATATATCCAAAAAAAAAACTGGATTTTTATCCAAACACACTTCTCAAGCAATGTGTGGGCGTTTCTCTAGTTTTAAATGACTTACTCTGTGATTTAGTTTTTCCCGCATAGGCTTTCTTAGACTCTATAACTGTTAACATGTGACCACATGATTGGAAAGTGAGAAAATTGATTTGCAGACTTGTTGTTAACCTCACCCTCAATTTTATGACACTTCCAGATACCTAATTGTATTAGTCTGCTTGGGAAGCCATCACAGAAATACCGCGGACTGAGTGGCTTAGCCAACGGAAGTCGGTTTCTCCCAGCTCTGGAGGCTGGAAGTCCAAGGTCAAGGCAGGTTTCTGGTTCAGGCTCAGGGGCTGCGTCCTTACCATCTGATGGGGAGGGGGAGAGGCAAGCTCACAAACGCTGGTGAGCTCTCTGGTGTCTTCGTATAAGGGCACAAATCACGCTCGGTTAGGGCCCCAGCCTTTCTGACCTCATTTAACCTAAGGGCCCTGTCTCCAAGAATAGTCACATTGCAGTCAGGGTTTTAACACAGGAATTTTGGGAGGTCACAACACAGTCCTCACAGCCAGTCTTACGGCGTCTCGTCAGCCCCAACCCCTCTGACTATCCTGTATGTTCACAGTCACTGGCTGTCCTTTCTTTTGGCTCTAATGCCATTACTTCTCCTCCTCCTCCCGTTTTTCTGACTCTCTTTCCATCCTTGGATCTTCTCTCATGGGGGATAGCAACATTCCCTATAGATAGTTCCCTTTTCCCCGGGAGGAAAAGAGCTAGCATTTCTTGATTACCTACTAGGTACTCGGTACTTTATACAGTCACTCAGTTGGTTACCAAATTTGTATTGAATGCTGGCTTTGGGCTAAAAACTATCCAGGTCCCTGAGAAGACAAAGTTCCTACTTTCACAGCATTTTCACTATGGGTAGAAAAATATAAAAAATTAATACCTGTGTATCATATACGTGTGTGTGTGTGTGTGTATATATATATATATACACATACACCATATTTATTATTTGGATGACAGAGAACCAATTAAATATCTTGAAAATTGTCAAATGGGAAAAATAAATCATTGTTCCTGCTATACAGTGTGAGTCTACCATTCTGTAACCAAATAGGAGGTAAAAGGAATCATCTCATATTCAAACTAATAAAAGAAATAATAGGATTAAAGTATTACGATTCAGCCTCCTATGAATTAAGAGATCTGGGCATTGAGTATCACCAACTGCTGACATCACAAAAAGGCAGATGAAAAGTCCCGTGCGCCCCGCAGTGAAAGAAGCAACATCGCCCAGGTAGCCTTGCCAAAGGGCTTGAACCTAAGCCAGAATGAGCCTCTGAATTCTTCTGCCAATTTGCAAGAACGGCGGAGCATGTCAAACTGCCCATGGGTAGCCAACCAGTAAAATTTAAACTCTGGTAAACTTTACAAGACAAAATGGCCCATGTTCTTCAACAGATTCATCATAAGGAGGAGAAAGGAAGGGATGGGGGGGGTGGTGTGGGGGTCAGCAAGTGAAAGCAAAGAGTGAGACGAAACTATAGTGCGGAGGAGCAGTCAGGCGACAAAGCTGTGATAAAGTGCAAGGGTGGCCATGTAAAAACACACCTGCAAAACTGTCAACACTCCTTCCCTATATGACCCGTCCCTTTGAGTGTAGGCTGGCCTTAGTGACTCCTCTGTAGCCATGCAATGCGACATAAGTGACTCTGTGTGACTTCTGAAGCCAGGACGTAAAAAACGATGACATTTTCTCCTTGTTCACTGGGACACGCGGCTTCGGAAGACTGAACTACTATGTGAGAAATGTGACTTCTTTGAGACCGATAGAGTGTGAGGGACACCTGGAGAGGCCACGCGTATGTGCCCTGGTGGATGGCAGCAGTCGTGGAGGATCCCATTCTAGCCCACAGCCCACGTGTGAGGGAAGATGCTTCCAGAGGGTTCCAGCCTCCTCCTCCAGATACTCAGTCTTCCCAGCCCAAACACCACGGAGTAGCTGTAGCCAGTTAGTCCTGGCCTGCAGTCGCTAACTGTTAGCATCTTTCCCCACCTCCACATTCCGATGCCATGTGGAGAGCTTGGAACTAGCCATCATAGGAGCCTTTACACCATGCAAATCAATCAACACCAGAAGCCAGAGCCATTCCTGCTGCGCCTTGCCTGAATTCCTGACCCACAGTGCCCATGAGCAAATAAAACCGGTGTTTTAAGCCGCCCAGCACTGGAATCATTGTTTTATAGCAAGGAAGTCTTTACTATAAAAGGACAGTGGTTACTCCCGGGGGGCGGGGGGAGGTGGAGGGTGGGCCTTTGAACTCCCAAACTGAAGCACAGCACCTTCTGTTCTCAGCCATGAATGGCCTCTGGTTCTTGACAGCTCCCGCCTTGAACATGTACCTTTTACCTTTTAGCCACAACTTTGCACAAGCCATTGCGTACAGCTAATGCAGAGGTACAGCTAATTTGCGTTTGCTATTAAGGACTATAGGACCACAGGAAAATGCGTATTGGCTCCTTTATTTTTACACATTAACAAAACTCTTGGTCACCCTACACTATTACAGCGTGATCTCTGATATACTCCTGTCCTTTCTTTTATTGTGTATTATAAAACATTAACATGTAAAACAGAAACCCGAATAAAACAAATGGTGTTCATGGCTCCTTCCTGCTTCTCACTTCTCTTAGCTCATCATTTTATTTTTCTTCTCCCCCCACCCCTCTTTTTTTACATTTTTGCTTTCTCTTTATTTTCTCTCTCTTTCCTAATTCCTTACTCCTTAAGGAACCTATTAGTGGCACCCAGAAGCACCTCCTAGGCTATTTGGTGGCCCTCAGAGACTGTGGATTCTTGTATACTGATTAAATAATTAATCTCAATTAGAGTATGATCACTTTCATTTGATCCTACTCCAACTAAAAAAAAAAAAAAAAGAACCGAGTTTACTAACAAATGCTAACAAAATACTCCTTTAAGTTCAGTGCATTCCATTTTAATCCCAGGTCCCAGTAGCCAAATGTGTTTAATGAAAACGTTTTCAGAAACTGATGACCCAGGATGGTATTCATCAGTGGCTTTGATTTAAAAATCAGGGAGACCAAACACATTAGCATTCAGTTTCGGTGGAAGTTTTCTCTTGCTTAACCTTCTGTTTCTCCATTTGGATTCCAGACACGGCTCCGAGGTTACTGACGCTGCCGGCGTGTCCCGATCTGTCTAACTTGCCCTGAACGGCTTGAGCATTCCTAGGGCGGCCGTGTAAACTTTTTGACCTTAAAGATGGGAATCCCAGCGTCTGGTCTGGTTTCACAGCCAGGAAGTTCTCCTGTTCAGCTCTCTGCCTAACGGCTAGCGACAAAGGAGACG